CTATAAAGTCATTATTACTGTAATGGTGGCTTAATTACAATGCAGTCACACTTTGAAATTTTAAAGGGAAATGGAAAATGAGAGATACCTGGAGGAAAAGAAAATTATACATTGTTGTGTGAAGTGCTGAGTACAGATCTCAGAGGGGAATTACTCCAGAATTACTCCGACTGCCTTTTAAAGATTGTGTTTATGCCCTGCCTACACCGGGGAGATCTGGCTTCCTTTCTCCTATCTTCTTTATCTATCCTCTGAAATCTTTACAACCCTTTTATTTGCTCTGTTTCCCTCTTTCTTCTTTCAACTCGTCTTTATCTAGTAACTGACCTACATGCACTGGCTATAAAGATTTGACCCACTCATTGCCTATACTGTGGGCACACTTTACGCACGTTTCTGCTTCCTGACCTGGAAGTAACGCAGTCAAAGCTGTCTCAAAGGCGCCGGAGTATGCATGTTCTAAATATACTTTCTCCATAATTTTTACATGAATCTGGTGGGTTATGGATCAGGCTTCTTAAGGGAAAGCCCCCTATTGTGAAAGCTCTCATAAGGTTTCTATTCACCCCCATGTTTCGCTATTGTCCCGTTATGCGTTTTAGCTTTTAGGCACGTGAATATGTGTTTGTGTGGTCAGGTTGCCTTTGTCCTGTCCCCTCAGGCCTGCACTCAAATGTCAGAGTCGTGTGGAGCGAATACAGGACACTAATGCACTGAAAAGGGGGACGCTATTCACCAACTCACAAACACCAGCAAGCCCGGGCCAAGATCGAAATGGACCCATTGACCTAAATCTAACTTTGAAGTGAACTACATCCTTGACGTGTTGACTTTTGCATGGTGGGCATTTTTCATCATCGTTGACAATGGACGGGATAATGCAGTATAGTTTTCTTTTATCTACACAATTATATATTTGGGTTTCTAAGTACGTAGGCTTAAAGAGGACTAACCCATGTCAAAAGTGATAACTGAAATAAGTTGAGCATGCCTAAACAAGGATTAACTGGGGTCAAATGAGAATATGACATAAAATGATGGACTAACCAGGACTAAGCAAAGGTTTAACTCTTTGAGATGTTCACCTTAAGCAGCTTGGAAAGACTAAACAGGACAAAATCAATTTTACGCATTTTATTTGACTGCCTTTTTTTTTGTGTTTTATGTTTCTGTTCTTTAAGGGCGTGCATTTGTACCTGTACCACAGTTTACAAAGCCATGTTGTTCTAAATGTACTCTACAAATTGCTGGGGTGTCTTATCAAAAATATAATCTATAATTTGTTTAACCGTTTTGGGTTGTGCTTGTTTCTTATTTGTACAGTGTGGGAAAGTGTCATCGTCATACTATTAAGATCTGTAGTCTGGGTGTGGATTTATTGTCACTCTCATAAAATGTCACACCTCCCTGTGTACCGAAACATTGCAAGGCTGGGTATAGTGAAATTATTATGACATCTGCTATTTACAGGAAAACAAGTAATAGTCAGTGTAGATTCTCAAATGTCGTTACCCAAGTGAAAAAACTGTTGGACTTGTTGGTTTTAGTAGTCAGCTAAAAAAAATAACAATACTTGAGTCATGCGTTTTACTCTATTTGTGCCACTACTACTAGGCTACAGCTTCATCCTAAAGCCAAATATGGATATAGTCCTGTACATTGAAAATACTACTCACTACTTATTAAATGCTATATTTTTTCCCACAGTTATGAAAACGATCTACTGAAAATGTACTTCCTACATATAGTAGATATGTGTGGCCTTAACACATGATCAGGTTAAATATGCTCTCAGGCTTACAGCTGGGGTACGTGATCTTCAAACTGTGAAAAGAGAAGTCATTGTAATTCCAATGCATAGATGTAATTCTGTTATATGATGAAATGCAGAAAGTATGATTTTGAAACTCTCCATGAAATACAAAAAGCAATTTGACTCATTTACAAGAAAAAGTCAGCTACCATATGTTTAAGCATTGTGCCATGTTCACTTGTCTGAGCCCTAAGTGAAGAGTAGAGACTGCACTGTGCCATTTGTTGGCCACATTCCTGTTGAACCTCTTTGCCTCTCTGTCAGTCTGTCTCAGGCTAATCTCACCGTTGGACACTGTTTTGTCTCTGCTTTAAGGGCACTTTATTTGTAGATGCCACTGTTGACTCAGGTGTTTGGATGGGCTGAAATGACTTCCTGTTCCTCCCCCCAAAAAGCCCCTATGTAAACTTGGCCCTCTGTAACTGACAACCTCTTATCACATCTGTCGGCTGCAGAGAGTCGTCAGTTTATTAAGGCAAACTTTCTCATTATCAAGATAATTACTCAGTGTTGGTTGTTTATAAATGATACAGAATCAGAAAATCTTCATTTCCAATTTGCAAAGTAGGATATGCCAGTAATTTTATACAAACTAGTGTTACAATTTATTGTTGTTTTGATAGCATGTAACACAATTTTTGACAAAGGAATTATTTTTAACAGAAAATTAAAAGTTTTTTGAATATTTCCATGTGACCTTAATTTAGTATATATGTTTTGAAATAGAATTGAACAGATTAATATCTGGATTTTTTATTTTATTTTTTTAATTACAACACTTACAACAACATAACACGCAGTAATAATCATTTTAATCACAAAAAGCAAAATAATGTCTTAAATAAATGCTAACTTTTCACTTTAGTTACACTGAACAAAAAATGTCACCTTGTTTTCTTGAAGGACAAACTAATTCTACCATTTGTTTGATAGTGGCCATTTTGAGATATGAGTGATTTCGTGCCCTTTCTTCCTAAAAGCTTCCCAATATTTAACCGTAACTAGTACCACATATCATCTATACTCATTACAGATGAAATATTGCAACTATATATCTCTGTTATAGACACCTGGATCACCTTTTTGTCATTGCCCCTGTCCAGACCCTCTTGCCTCCATCAATTGTGTCTCAAATCTGGGTCATCTCCCGCCAACTTGAGCTTTGAACTGACACCCCATCTTTCACCACAATGAGCCCCTCTTCTTTCATTATCAACCGCAGCCCTTTCAACTCGCCAATGTCTGAACACCATCCCTCATCTGGATACCTGTGGCCTGAGCACTCCAAACCCCCCACAGGTATAACAACCTCTCATCCCAGCTCTCACCACCTCCGTGCTCCCATCCCCCCTCCTCAAATCCCTCTCTCGCCCTCTCATCCGCCCTGTTATTTGGCTCCCCGACCGAATAGGAAGCATTAACCTGCCAATTTAGCTACTCCCTCACCAGCCTGTGTGTTGTGTATGGGGTTTTCTGACAGCGCCACAATGCAGTGCCATGACAAATTTTAAACAGGCTTTTTCACTCTTTGTCTGAATTGGATTTAGCAAAATTACAGTGATTTTTTGATAACAGATTGACTGAAAGGCAAAGCTTAGTTAATAAGCTACTGTCTGCAGAGTGACTGAACTAAGCAAGACATTTCTTAGATGTTAATTTTAAAAGATTTATTACAGATTTAAACATGCTTTGATGTAGATTAAAACACAGTTTGCAGCAGTCAATACAAAGAATAACTATGATGCACAATCTGTATTTATTATTTGTTGCTTTCTTTCTCAAAATAGAAGTTTCTTGTGTTCTTTCTTCAAGTATAAATTCACATCATGGTCTACCACATCCACACAGTTCCACATCTTTTCAAAAACTCTTTCTATATGTTTCTTGTTCCTCACTGCCAAGCGCTCTACCCTAAGGCTGTTTTTGCCCCAAAGGCTTTCCACAGTTGCCATCTGAATCTGGAGCGGAGTGAAACGTCTCATCCCAATCCTCCAAATTAAACAACGCATCTGTAACTGCCTCATACGCGCTTTTTACATGTGAATGATATGAATATTTGGGTAAATTGGTTTTGACGGCATGATGGGGATTGTCTATAGAGCTAAGAGTGAAAAAAACAAGAGAGAGATGGAAAATTGGTCCGTTTCCCTCAGCCATTACATTATAACCACCTGCACTTTCCTAATACACAATACAATACACAAGATAATACATTTATATCAAATCTACCTCTAAAGCAATTTAAAGGTGCACTGTGTAACTCTTCTAATGCGTGGTTCTTTTGTTCTTTTCTTAGAGTGTTCCACAGTATGGTTTCAGCGCTATCTTCAAGCATGACTCACCAGGCTAAGTTACAGGTCAGATCTGTGGGGACTAGAAGCAGACCTGCTCATAGTAGAATACTCCATTCATTGCCACGATGAAGACATTAGCTGCCATTGTGCTCTCACCTGTCTGTAGAATTGAGCTCATATTAAACTTGGAATTTGCAGTCATTAGAATTGGAAACATAAATTCTATGGTATTTCATTTCAAGATTTTGAGAACTACTGTATGCCCATGATTTGATGTAGAGAGCTTATCATAAAGTGGAATTGAAATCTTTGGGGCTTCTTGGCATATTTCATAGAATCTCACAGATCTGAGCAGCAGCTACAGCAGCATCAAGCACTTAGCCAGGCCTTCACTGTAGTCGACTCGTGGTAGAGGGATTTTCCTTTAAAATATGGTAATCCAGAACTGTGCAGTGCGGTACAGACAGTCGAATGCAGTCAGCGTTAAGGAGCGTACAGCATAAGCTCCTAGAAACTCAGAGCAGTGTATTTAATGAGGTTAGTGACACTGGAAAAGTAAAGCAGTACACTGACACAAATGGAGCTAGTTATTTATTTCTGTTGATCCTCAGATGCCACACAAACACACTGACCTAGAAATTGAATTGTAAATCTTGGATCTCTTTCGTTTAAATGGCCTCTTTTTTATTTTTTCGGGAGGTTTGGAATATCAATTAAAATGCATATTCCCCGGTGTGGAATTGCAAACCTGTTATTAATCCCTGAATGACTTGAAAGTAGTTGTGGTTTATGCTTATTCTATGTGTGTGTGTAATCAGAGAGAGGAGGAGGAGGTGGAGTGTGACGTGTCCAATCCCGCACGAATGAATAAGAAGCTAATCTTTCTTTTCCAGGGAATCGTGCCAGTGTTGTTCCAGAAAGTCCCCTCTCTATGGAGCTGATGAGTGCAGTGAAGTGAAGTGTGGCTATTATCTTGTAGTAGGTACTTCTTATTTGCAAGCATGCAGAGGTTACCCTTGATCAAGGCATTTAAAGCAGGTTCACACTTTGAGTAACTATAGTGTATGTCCTGCTACTGTTCTGGCATTCCTTAGACCAGTGGTTTTCAACCTTTTTTGAGTCATCGTCCGATTTTTTTGGTTGAAAACATTCTGTGGCACATTGGTTGAAATGATTTTCACCTCTGTTGCTCTGGGAGTCTATTTTAGGACGGTGTGGAATGACGTTTGTCCCATCCACAGATTCCTTTGTTTACCCCCCAGAGAGACCCTTAACCTTTAGGGACATCTCTCCATGGGCTGGAGACGGGACGAGTGTAACCATTTGAGGAATGTGGAAGGTGCAGGCTTTAGAGCCGGGCGGGGCATACTCATTGCTGTATGGTTAATATGTTTGTAAGATTTAAGGGGAATTGTTATGAGAGAAAAAAAAATACTGAATGGAGTGATGAAATAAAAATGGAAGGGTGCAATAATGAAGATTAAGAAGTTGTAAAAATATTATTCTTTCAATTAACATGTTGCGCTAATCTCATCAGTCATGCTGCAAGAGTTAAAGAAGACTCATCGTCCTTGAGTCTGCTTTATAGCTTTGATCTATGACACCCGTTGATCATTAATAATAATTTGTACATTTTAAATTGCAATATTAATCTACTGACTATTGCATTATAAAGAAAAAAAGAATAAATGAATCTTTGCACATAGTTGTAAAAAAAACAAAACAAAAAAGAAACTAGACATTTCTTGAATTCTCTTGTAGTCTTCATCTATTTCAAATTAGACTTATAAAAAGACCACATAGTAATATTAAATAAGATAATATTATTTTGTGTTGAAAATTATATTCTACTGTCTAGGATCTGGATTGAATATCCAAACTTTCCCTCAGTAACAGAAATCAAGTTTGAAATGTTTGTATTGTGACACTCACACTAACACCTAACACATACAGGCAGCCTACACCTACTCCCAGTCCACTAGTGGTTGACGTTTGCAGCCACAGTGAATGCATAAAAGCTGTGACAGGTTTGAAAAAGTGATGAGGGCACATGTGCTTGCCTCAGACAGTGTTGTACAGTGGTGTGCATCTCCATTGAGTGTGACATCTGGAGAGCAGCTCTGTTTCTCCGTGTGTCATTTCGGGTGGAGCTGAGAGACAGGTGCACAGATAAAAAGACTGGCGGAGGGGAAGTGGGGAGTGCCAGAGCTCCATGGCTGTTCTGACAGGCCTTTGGTATTTTTCCAAAGAGCTGGAGTAAAACCTGCTCATTTTTCTCATGGGATTGGACAGGTGTATGCAGCTGGAGTCTCCTTTTGTACGCCAGCGCTTCAGTGTGTCACAAATACTACCTGCTTGTGTGTACATCTCTGTTTACAGCCTGACAATATGAAAACATAGTCAAGTGTGGCAGGCTAGTGTGTTATTCTTCTATTATACCTCATCTATGTGTTGTATAACAGAGTAAAACACCTATTCATATTTCCCTTTCAGACAGATTGTATTGAACTCTATGGAGGGTTTTGCAAAGCCCCTTTTAATAGTCTAGTCATATCCATTAACAGCACATAGCCAACCTGTGTGAATGGTAATATGCCCTTTTATATGAGTGCAATGTGTTAATATTCCCTCTACGGTCTTTTAGTGCTCTGAGAAGTGAAGATTGAAAGAATAATAGAGAATAATGATCTTTCTGCTTTTGTCCCTGCTCCCTAAATTAAGCCTGAAGAGATAGGCGACTTATCCACTCAGAGCTGTGTAACAATAGGACCCCCCAGTTTTACTCTCTCTCACTGTACCCATGTCTTTGTTTAGTCCTAGTTCAGTCTTTGTTTAGTTCTGGTATGCCTGGTTTAGACTTGGTTTGAGTCTGTTTTGTTTCTGGTCTAGTCCTGGATTTGTTTAAGTGCTGGGTTGGTTCCAAATAGGGGTGTGCAAGAAAATATCGATATATCATAGCACTAAATTTGGTGAGACAATATCAATAACATATATCGCCAGCAATATATCATGTGCCACATATCGATCAAACTAAATTTGATTTTATTTTTCTCTTATTAAAACCACATGAATTGGATTTCATTATTCATTTCATGAATGTAAACAAGACCTGCTTTTATACCCAAAATACCCAAATTTAACTGCACTCCAAACCACATAACTTTGCTGATAGAGGATGAGCTGTAGGCCACTCAATTAAAAGACCTAAGCTGATCACTGACTATTAGAAATGATTCTCAATACATTTACAATTTGATTAAATGCCCTGCCATGGTTTTAGACCTGATTTCCTGTGCAGTTTTAATCAAATTTTCTTCTCGCCCTGCATCTTCACACAATAAAAACAACTACATAAATACAACAAACAGCTAATGCCACCTGTGACCTGAATTTCTATCTTTCCTAGTCCTTTGTCTTTGTCTGAATATTTTCTCCTTTCTATTCTTAGTGCAGTCTATTTGTGTTTCTCCACTGTATATTTGCACTGACCTTAGCAACCTCGTACCTCGCCCCTAGCCTTTCCTCACCTCTATGTGGGATCTGCCCCTCACCCCCTCATCTTTCTACCCCCCTCCTCCCTCCTATTGCCTTGCTGTAGGGCACCAGAAACTGAAAAGGAAGAGACTAAACGTTTTCGACTGTATGCTGCCAGAGGAAAAAAAGTGTTTGGATTTCCCATGTGTTGTGTCAGACGTGGTTGTCTTGTTTATTTGGGTGTTTGCTTTTTTCACTATGGAGGAGAGATAGACCGTTTACAACAACACAGGCTGCATACTCGCAAAATGAGCAATGGCAAGATTCATACTAAGAAGCCAATACTAAGAGACAGATTTTTGTTTTTTTATGTTTTGCAAATGTCTTGGCATAGTTCTGATTTAGTCTATGGGTGCATTCACATTTGTCCTGTTTTGAGGCCAGTTTAGTCCTGATGTAGACTTGGTTTGGGTTTATCCATCACATTGTGTCCCCATCCTTTATTATTAGATTAACAACATGATTCTAATTTTGCCTATTAGTTAAGATTGGGTTTAGGTTAAAGGTGCAGTGCAGAACCTTTCTAGTGGAGGATCTGCCACCTGTATACAGTAGATTAAACAAGGGAGACAGCACAGCATTACTTTACAATTCAGATTTGTGATCACCAGAAAAGTTATGCAGTGCACCTATAAGGTTAGGCAAGTAGAATTATTGAGTTAGGGTCATTCTCCAGGAAATTAATGTCCCCAAATATAGCAAACAAACCTCATGTGCGTTTGAATGCACCCTCCTTTTGCAGTAATTACTACATTCATTTCCTAGTGCTTGTTTTTTATATCCAGTTGTGACTCAAATAAGAACACATCCAAAAGCTATTCTCTATTCACCACTGTAAATCTCCTGCTTCCTTTTAAATTAATATGTAATCTAAAACAGTGGGCACAGATCCAAAGCAAATGCACAGCCTCAGTGCGTTAATACTGTGCGTGTTATATGATGTTAGCTTTGGGGGGGGGGTTGTGTGATTACGATGAGATTCATGAGGCCGGATGGGATGGAGGAGGGATGAGAAGAACAGCAAAGGAAGATGAGCAGAACATATCAGGGTCAAGGGCCTGCTTTATGTAACTGCATCTCACAACAGCAGCTGGGGCTACACAAACAACATAATAGGAGATCTGAATTTTATTCTTTTAAATGTATTATTCTTATGAAAATCTGTTATATGTATGTTTTATTAATACTTTGCAGCTGATATCATCAACATTACCTGTGAGTGTGATGCTAACTGAGTTTTCAGGTGACCTTAAAACCTTTTTGGCACTGTTTGATAATGTCTGCATTGTGTCTCAATGGTGACTGCTTTTAGTGTTCAACATGTATCTCTAACATTGCACTGTAGAGTTACATATTGAACACCCCCAACATGATGTCACTGCAAAGTATCAACTAGTCTTGTTCTCCTCTCTAGCATCATCATTTTAAATAATTAGGTGATTATAAAAAGAGGCTGCACCGTGGACACACTTGACTTTTGCTTACATTTACTGGTAGTGTATTCACTATAATGGTATCTTCACCAAGAATGAGCTGCTATCCACTGTGCCACTTAACATCCCAGTGTTTATGAGTTCACAACCAAGAATTCATTTTCAAGTACACTTTAAAAGTACATGATACACGAGGGCTGCAGTCAGCCGAAAAAAAACACACAGACAGTTTTCATTTACTTTGCTAACTCTTATACAGTTTTGAGTATGTTTTTAAGGCCATACCATTAGGCCTGCCATGATAAAAATTTTTGAAGTGTGATGTAGTGATTTGTTGTGTTTGTTGTATACTGTGTATATTAACTACAGAAAATATCATGATAATTGATAATATTGAAGATTTTATATGCTGATGACTGATACAATAACCCTGAAGCAGAATACTAGCAATACACCTTTATTTTTAATCATATCATAAATAAAAAACACAATGAAACATGTATAGTTTTAGTAGTTTGTAATATAGAGTCATTTAGATAATGATTATTTCGACCCTCAACATCTCAAATGTTAATACAATTGAAAAAGTAAAAAAAAAAACTAAACAACATTTGCACTTGTGCAAGAAAAGGTACACACAAGCTACACACAATACATATTATAGAGCTCCAAATAAGTATTGTTCCATCTTTCTGTATCAAAATATCAGCTAAGATTACCCTCAACACTGCATGTACATATCCTCTTTAGCAATCACCTTGCATTCACACTATAGCGCATTATGGAAATGAAGGTCTATCCTAAGCAGCTCTGGGCTAGTATTAGAGGAAATTAGGTCGTGTTGGAGGGAATCGTTTAATTGAGTTTTAAGCAGAAAATCACACTTCCCAGCGTCTTTCATCCGCTGTCATTTTGCCTCTGTGAGCATGTGCGTGTGAGCGTGCATGTTTCTTTGTCTGTTGAAAAAAAAAAAAAAAAAATAGGGGTGTTTCCGAGATGCTTCAAGTCTGTACACGCCTGGATGGATTCAAGTTGGCATTGAGTTTCAGGGTGCAGTTCAAAGACATGGACATATTTGTGAGAATTACCCCCAAGGCTTTAACAGTAGCTAGATTTGAATGATCTGTAATTGAATGTTTGCTTGTTTTGTTTTGTTGATTTAAAACAAGAAACACTGTCCAAAAAGTGTCTTCTTCTTCTTCTTCGTCTTTCTTCTTTTTCGTCGTTGTCTTCTTCGTCTTTATCTTCTTCTTTTTCTTTGTCTTCTTCTTCTTCATCATCTTCTTCTTCTTCTCCTCTTCATCTTCTTCTTCATCTTCTTCTTCTTCTCCTCTTCATCTTCTTCTTATTCGTCTTTGTCTTCATTTCCTCTCATTTCAAATATGTCACTTCTTGTAATCCACCTGAACCATTTTCTGTAGTTTTCTTTTCTCATTCAGCTTTTGACATGTGAGGTCACTTTGAAGTTACAGAGGCTACAATGAAACATGTTTCTGTTCTTGTGCCTTTCAGATCTGATACCGTTGTTTGAGAATGAGCACATTGCATAAGACCCAAAATACTTCTCCGTGCTGATGTGCTGACACGGATGATGCTGCATTTTCATCAAAGGTATGAATACCTTTTGTAGTTTCAGTGTTAAAGTGGAGGGAGTGCACTGTTGCAGTGTTGTTAGCGTTGGACTTTTGGAAGTTGCATCTTTTTTTAAAATTCTTTTAAAATCTCATTGACAAGTTTATGACATAGCATGTAGTGGATAACTGAAAAAGTGTTGCGCTACTGTGTTAGTATGACTATACATTCTCTGAAATATGTTGGAAGAGGACACACTGACTGAATGACTATGGCTTCCTGTCATTGTGCTCACAAAAATGTCAGTAGTAAGATTGTTTTTGTGAGTCACAGTTGACCAAGTGTCACCAGTGTAACATTACAAAACAACACAATAAATAATGTGCTTTTAGGTTTTAAAAGATATAAAGTTAAGGTATACGTTATTGGGAAATTGGTTCTGCATTTGGCCCATCTTTTTATTCTGCTGGGGAAACCTGTCAGGAGCAGTGGGGGACTCATGTTCAGATCTTACTCAGCTTAGTCAGCCAGTCAGCTTATGCCTGTTTAAAGTGAATATTTAAAATTATTTCCTTACAGTTGAATCATGGGAAACGTGGAGAGCCAAAATGGTGAGCTGTATCGGGATGCATCGGGCCACATATCCCGAAAACACACGTCCCGAACCCTCCGTCTCGGCACAAAACAACCAGCAATCACCCGGCGTTCCAGACTCTCCTCCTCTGTCAAACAAGAACATAGAAACTCAGAGGCCTCAACGCGCTCCTCCAGCACGCCCAGTATCCCACAGTCCTTAGCGGAGAATGGAATTGACCCCTTCGATGCTCCAGATGGATTTGGAGATTTTGGAATCAACCCTCATTGGACACAGAGGATGGCAATGACACTGAGACCGGAGTCGTTCCAACACGACGAGGATAACTTAGCTACGCCCACCCCGGAAACTTCAGAGGCAGATACAGTCGCCCCAGATGGAGAGGATTCAATGGGGGAAGGGGAGGATGTTGGAGATGAAAGGTATATGCTAAGGATGAGTGACGGGGTTCAAGATGGCGGCAGTAATTTTAAGAAGAAGCGCTCAAAGTCAGCAGATATGTGGAGGGAGGACAGTCTGGAGTTTTCACTGTCAGACTTGAGTCATCTGACGAGCACTGAAGAGATCATTGATGGTGCTGAGGAAGAGGAGTTCACACATCCCAGAGGCAACACAGGTGAGAAGGGTGGGGTCAATAAAGGAAACAAATAAAAGAAGACATTTATTTTATTGGTGTTGCTTTCAGATTCAAGAAGCAGCACTCTTTAAAGGCAAAACTAAAATGTACAATTGTTGAACATGACTAGACCCTAGAACTTGCCATAATTACAACAATTATTTGTCTATTAAACATGGTAATTTCCCTGGCCCTTGCTCCATTAAATTTTATAGGCAGAAGTTGTCCAGTACTTCATAAAAACATGAATTCACCTCAACTAATAGACTTTTTCATTCCCTATTTCTCCAAAAATCAAACATCAATTCATTCAAAAGACCTTAGGATTATGCACAAGAAATATCAAAAACTTATCGTAAGCCCCTATGATAGAAGATTACTGAGTCTCTCTATTTTTTGCAGTACTTAATTCTTTATAGATTTTGATGCGGGGCAGGAGAAGCAGAGAATCCACAGGAGGCAGTGGTTGCTTTTACTTCAAAAAGTCGACATTTAAGTGTTCTCTGCATGTGGTCAGCCAACTCACTCAGTGTAATGGACGGGCCTGAAGCATAGAATGAATCACATTGTCAAAAATAGTACTTCCATGCAAGGTTAATGAGTTAAAATTGTGATAAAGTATGCAATAAAACTATAATTAGAATATGATGTGTCTATCTAACATATTAACTGTGCTTAACTAGCTAGATTATGCATAACTGTCTTGCATTTACCACCTGTGTGTGTTAGGGTCGGCAGAGAGAGCATCATCGCTGGACCATCTGTGCAGCCAGCAGAGTGCAGGCCTCAGGGGGCAGAGAAAACGCTTCACCAAAAACCGCAGCGAACCCGACTGCGATGGTGATGAGGAGGAGGGGGAGGAGGGACTCATGTCTCCCACAGACGAAGAGGGCGGCGGATACGGGGCGTTCACTCTCCCCTGTCGGAGGTCCCACTGTCTCTCTGAAGGGCTCTCGGGGCTGGGGATACCTGCACCACCCTGTCCCGCTTTTCAAGGACGGAGAGCACAGACTACACAGGTGAAATGGAGTTAGATTGTTTATCCAGTCCTTCCAATCTAACCTTATTTATAAAGCACAGTCATGCAAAGGGATGTCTATGGTTTTCAGAGTGATGGAAACATTTGAACCAATGTCAGGTAGCAACTCCACCTCTAAATACCTATATACAAAAGACTGAAGTGTTTTGATGTAGGAAAAATATCAGTTTAAGTATTAGTTGCAGTGAATCTAGAGAATCCCTTATGTTAACTACAGTGGCTTCTGGTCTTCATTGAAAGCCAGGATAGAACAGGAACAAGGACAGTAACATGTAAATAAACTTACTGAGTTCAAACTGTGGGCGCGTGTGGTACATGCTTCTTCCAATCACCACAGCCAAATGTTTTATAATTACTTCCAGCTTTGTATTTTACAAGTTTAGCCTGCCCCCAAAAAAGAACAATTATTTATAAGTTTCCTCAAGTGCAATGACACTGTGACAGTAGGATGGTGAAAGTTCAAAGATCATAGTCCTGATGGAGAACACGGCCCATACCAGAAACACTAACTAATGAATACCAGATATTTTTACTGTGTGTGGTCTGTTCCTCATGTAATGTATAGGCATCCAGGAGGCACTGACCTGGTTTCCTCAAGCTATTTGTTACCTTAAGTCCTAACAATGGTTAAAGTGGGGATTCCCTTAGATGGTCAAAACAACCTTTTACAATGCATCTACTAAGCCTTAGAGTGGATGAAGTTGCAGAGGCTTAAAATCTGTAGCTGTCTATTGTTTTATTTATGCAATAGTGAAAATGGTACAAAAATAGCAAGCAGAATTTTCTTTCAACCCTTACCCAGTTCCCTTGGACAGCACTGCTCCCTAAGTGCTTATTATAAATGATCTTGCTGAGTTGTGGGAGTTGTTTGATGAAATAAAAATAAACATCAACACGCAGTGAAACAAAGAGAAGTGCTAAAACACAAAGTACAGTTTAGTCTGAGGCAAAAAGAACCAAAATACTTTTGGTGGCACAATAAAGGTTTCTTTACAAAAACATACATTAAACATTTATATATATTCATAGGACAACATAAATTATTGAAATTTACCTAGCAAGAATGGAAAATACACGTTTTTATCCTACTGATCAAAGTACTACTATTTTTGCCTGAATAATTGATATTTTATGTGTGTATAGTCTTTACAGTATTATTAGCAGGATTCATAGTAAATAACTAGTGAACAATAGTAGTAGGTTTTATGCCAGGTGCAACAGGACTTTTTAATGGAATCCAATTATTTACCGTAATTCTGTTCTGTATAATTTCACTTTAACTGTCTTGAAGTACCATTATTTACCAGATACTCATTATGTTACTCCACAGGACATCTCTGGTGTTCTGGGTGAAGGCAGTGAATATGGTGACAGTGGAATTGATGGTGTTACCGCAGAGATGGATGGAGAGGCAGAGCTCCTGTCACGCCGCTGTAAGGCCATGTCCACCTCCTTCTCCGTGTACTCTGCGGCCGACAGCAGCATTTTCAATGGGAGTGACAGCGGCAGCAGCAGCGCCGGAGGAGGAGACGGCAGAGGAGGTGAAGGAGGGAGAGGAGGGATCTATGAGAACTTCCGAAAAGAGTTAGACAATCAAGCTTGGGTAAGTTCACAGATATTAAAATTATCAATGAAATGCATATAACAAAGTCATTCAAGTACAGGTCATTAAGTGCATAGAAAAAATAAACTGCTCATGATAATAGAGAATTTCTTTGTCTTACAGTAATAAAATTTTACGTTCAACAATTAATTTGTTATTGGTAGGATATACATACAGTATTTGACATTGGAATTTGTGCTGAGTCCCATCCCGGGGTAAAGGTTCAATGTTTTTATATATATATCTATATATATATATCTATATCTATCTATATCTATATCTATATATCTATCTATCTATCTATCTATCTATATATATATATATACACACATTTTATAGTCTGTTTGATTTTATTAGATAGCAAATTCTTCACCTTAATATAAAGGACTCTGCAATGTGTCGGTCTTCCTGGAAGAATAGATTCATACCAAATATCCAATATATCTTTGTAATGATTGGCTTCTAAGGCTGTTTTTTTTTAGATAAGATAGACCTTCCAATCTTTTACTTGAACAAAACTCCATTGTAAACTTTGAGGGCATTTAATCATCATCTTTATTTGAGGTCAGACATTGATACATTGTCTGACCGCCATTTGTGTTGTGTAGACACACTCTGCCAGAGACTGCACAGAGGAGGGCGGGTCAGCGGTGAGCGATGAGCAAAGCAGTGGTACTCTTAGCAGCGCCTATCCATCAGATCCTGTGGTGGGCTCGGCTCAAGGCACTGTCCGTAAGGCAGGAGCATTATCTGTCAAGAACTTTCTGGTTCATAAGAAAAACAAAAAAGTGGAGACAGCCACAAGACGCAAATGGAAACGCTACTGGGTCTCATTAAGAGGTAATATACACCATTATATTATTAGTGTGCAAATGCTGCAATACTACACTACATCATAAAAAACATTTCTGGTAATGCCTCATTTATTCGACTTATTTTCTCTATACCCTCTTCATAGTCAGTCAAAAGTAATATGTGTAAAAGTTTATGCAGTATAATGCATACTTTAACGTACAGCTCATTTGAGCCTTACACATCTAGTCTGATGAATGTATTCCAACTATTTATCATAATTTCCTAATGTCTATTCTGTTGTTTTTTTTAAAAAAGGCCTAAATCAAATTCAAATTCTTTCAAACAAAAAACTGCTTGTCTCTAAAACATAATAATAACATAACGTAATTTACTGATGAAAGTCATAAAAAGACTCCTTTGTGTCATTTTACTGCCATCTTGTTACTCTCAGATTAATATCCTCACCTTGGCTTCTCCTGTTAAATCTCTGTCTTGTGCTTAAGTCTGGCTGTAATAACATCAGTCTAACCACAGTCTCTGCCCTTGGTTCTCACCTCCACTGTCTCCCCTCTCACCCTCTCTCACCCTCTCATCCTTTCTCACCCCCCTTACCCATCTCACATTCTCATGTGTGGCCTCACCGTCTCCCTCGTCTCTTCCTTTCACAATTTAATTTTACAGCTTCACTTGTGTGTAATCCAATTTTGTTCCCTTCAAATGCATGAAACGGAGCATCTGCGGCCACATTCCTGTCTGTCACCTCGGCTGTCCTTAAATAAATAACTGCACTGTCCACCTGACCCCAGTCTGTGTTTTCTCTCCCATTAGGCATTGTCATTGTTGAGAAATTGTGTTCAATGTTAGGTCATAACTCCTCTCGAATTTGTTTTGAAGAGAAATAAAATGGCTTGTTTATGGCTTTATTTAGTCTATATAAATAATTACTTCATCTTTGTTTCTCAAGGTTGTACTCTGTACTTGTATGAAACGGATGGTCGATCGGGGATAGACCATAACAGCACTCCTAAACATGCGCTGTGGGTGGAGAACAGCATTGTACAAGCTGTGCCTGAACATCCGAAGAAAGACTTTGTCTTCTGCCTCAGTAACTCAATTGGAGATGCATTCCTCTTCCAGGTGAGAGACACTGCTATTCAAAACATCTCAGTTACATAACATTTTGTCAATGTAGAAGCGATGGCAAATTTCTCACAGCATGTTCCAGTTTAGTATCTTGGATTTTTATTAATAATATAAACTTGTGAGATCACATGGATAGGACAATACACTAAACCACCACTATACCACTAAAGTGCACTGAATGGGGATGCCTTTTATTAGAGTAATAAATTATTTAATAATTTTTCATCTTCAAAAATTCCAAACTCAGTAATACCCGTGCACCTTTGCCGCATTTGTTGTCCATCACTGTTTGAGAGACCCTTAACAAATCATTTAATTTTTCTCCTGGTTATATTGTTAATGTCATTAATGAGAATTTAATGTATTATGGAACATTAAGTTCTCAAAAGACAGAGACTGATGAGAACAAAATGGTTCCTAATTTCCCCTGGGGACCCTCTTGGAGCGGACACATGTACATGACATTCAGCTGTGTGGTAGATACAGGAGATATGTGTGTTTGTTTTCTATGACATGTTTAAAGGCCACGCTGTCTGTGGTGACAGTGATCCACAGCAGGGCCCATTGTGTTATTTTAAATTATATCACGACAGCTGTCCTCAGTGACATCCAATCAATGCATGAGGAGATAAGTAATACAGTGATAAATGAATTATAATGGCCACTGTTCCCTTGAGAGTTAGTATGACATGAGCATCAAATCGGTTTCCTGTTTTTTTTCTTATGACTCATTTCTGCAGATTATTAGTAATAATTTAAACTGCTTTTAACAGCTGATATTTAAAGCTGAAATGGATGTTTTTATAGTGCAACTAACATAGAATAAAGCTAAGTGTACCTTAACCTTTACCTTTATTGATCTTACAGTGAAGAATTAATTTGTAATTGCTACTTTTAATTAAATAGTGCAAATAGTAATACAATGCATGCAATAAAAAACAAGATAAGATAATGTAAAACAAATATATATACAAGGAATATTAATAAGAGTAAAACAATAAAACATGAGTAAACATTATAAAAATATAAGTCACGATGAACATCCAACTTACTTTGTGTCAGTAAATGCATGTATTAAACCAAAAAACTAATTATAATAATAACAGCAATTTATTCAGTCAATATCTAGATTTAATTAGAAAGTGTTCAGTATATTAGATTTAGCTATGATAAGAGAAGCTAGAAAAGGTCTATATCAGTATAGGACCCAGTTTATATCGGTATAGCACCTGGAGGCACGAACCCTCAAGATAGTTTGTCCATTCCAGTCTAGTCCAGTCCAGTCTGGTCATGCTTCCACTGCAGGGAGTATTATACCTCTGATGACATAGACCATAATAACAGGGACTGAGCTGGCAGTGAGAGCCCTCAGTACAGCACAGAAATAGAATTTTGTCTAACAATAATGATACAAAAATGACACCTTGAAAATGCTTTGAATTTCAGACCTCGAGTCAGACAGAGCTGGAGAACTGGATAACTGCAATCCATTCGGCCTGTGCCACAGCTCTGGCCCGTCAGCACCACAGAGAAGACACGGTGAGACTGCTCCGGACTGAGATCCGAAAACTGGAGCAGAAGATCGACATGGATGAGAAGATGAAGAAGATGGGAGACATGCAGCTGTCTACAGTCACCGACACCAAGAAGAGGAAGACCATACTAGAGCAGGTTTGGAACTCATTGTTGTCAATTTTAGTATGAGAAATCTAGAGAAAAACAATCTGGAAAATTTGGAGGTCTGTAATTACATTAAATTCTAATGTAATTTTGATATGAAAGGTTTTAAAAGAATAAGGAAAAAAATGAAGGACTGGCCCTGTTTTTTGTTTGTTTGTTTTAATATTGACTTGTTCCTTTGTTACAACGTATGCAGTGGCCATTTTGTTTAGTCTATGCTTCTTCTTACAACTTCACTTGAATGAAAACGACCAAAAAATTTTATGGCCCTTCTCTTTTTAAACTCTCCAAACTGACATCAGGGCAATAAACCATCTTTACTGCATGTCGTCATCTCAACAAAATGTTCAGGCCCAGATGTTTTCAGTCTTACAACTGTTTCTTTTCATTCATAGAAGTGCAAAAACTACACAGAATATGTCAACAATTTCTAGAACACACATGCAGGTAAACTCTGCACTTATTTTAATTATAGTTTTGGTTCAGAGCTAGCTTAAGATCAGGTTTGTTCACTTTGAGGGAAACTTAAAGCTTGAAGCCTTATACTTAATCTGTACGCGTCTGGATGTGTTCATACATCACATTGAATGGTTACCTTTTGTATGTACACACTAAAATAGAGCCTGAGAATTTGCTTTCACATAATAGACCTTCATGTTTGAGCAGGTCTCTGTGTTTTGTACCTTCACATTTTGAGTCAATGAAGGAAACCATAAAAAGCTGGGGCAGTTAGGTAACTAAATGTGTGTTCAAAAGAAAAAAAAATAAATTGTTGACATATTCATCATTAATTCTAATTCTTATTAGTGAAATTATGTTTAATTATTTACCTCCATTGCTTTACAAGCTGCTAAAAACACTAAACATGCTTGCAATATACAACTGCAAACTATACAACTGCTTTGTTTTCTTTGTTACAGCTACAAACCTAACCATATCTTACTTTCTGTTGATATGAATGTAAAACTGTATGTAGACATATCAATCAAAGAGCAGCCGCAAGATCCGAAAATACATTATTGCTCTTCATGGGTTTCAGAGTGATGAAAATTTTGCACAGTTTTCGTAGCAGTTACTAATTCAAAACAATAATCTTTTGAATGGTGGAAAATCTTAAAATGTTCCATATAAACAAGAAGATGAAACCCATGAATTAGGTTATTTTTCCTATAAGCAAAAACACACAACATAAACAAGCATGAAATTTGTGGTTGCAGTGTTTTCTTAGGCAGCTCAAGTCCAGTTAGTGTCTCATGTGCCTGAGTGCACCTCCCACAGCCCACAGTTTGATACATTGTACATATCGCTGCAGGTCAGTGACCAGTGGGGGCTGTGTGTTTGTGAGCAATGCTTCAACAACACTCCCACATCTCACCACTTATTAGACCAACACAGTAATCCACCTTATATAACAAATGCTCTGTTTAAAATGGATTAAAGGGTATTTGCCAGATGTATGGATCTAGTTGAAAAAGACCACAGTAATGCTCAAATCAAGCCAGCTCTGCTAATTTGGCCACCACACTTCACTCTCCTTCATGAACTCAGTATCTTTACTGTATTAGATAAAATATAGCTTTATTTGTCCCGCCTTGGAAAATTTACTTTGGGGAGTAAAAAACTCAAAAATGACCAATTTAAACAAAATATATTCTAAACTTATAAATTTTCAAAATAGTGTAGACATAGGCTACATCTTTACACAAGGATACCCATGTGCAAAAATGGGAGAAAAGCAACAAGCAATAAATCTATGTTTAAATCAGGGTATAGCATAAAAATGAAATGAATATTGAAAACAAAATGCCAAGTAGATTACATCCATGAAATATGAGGGCTTGTAATAGTGTTTCTGTTTTTTTGCCCAGTTTTGTAATTAGGATCTTATCTTTGGAGGTTGCATAATCACCAATATGTGTTCGGTCTCTGTATCCTTGTGTTTCCTCAGATCTTCCTGTGGGAACAAAACCTGGAACGCTTTCACATGGATCTGTTCCGCTGCCGGTGCTACCTGGCCAGTCTGCAGGGGAGTGAGCCCCCCAATCCCAAGCGCCTGCTGGGCTGTGCCTCACGGCCCTCCAAACTGGCTATGGGACGATTAGGGATCTTCTCTGTTTCCTCTTTCCATGCTCTGGTATGGTTCTTCAAGACTAATATTATTTATAATTTATCTTTTTCCACACATTTCCATTTACTATAAGTGTAACACATTAACTTACTTACACCCTGTACAGAGGTTATGGACTTTGATGAGGAAATGCCATGAATGTATATCCAGGCAGAAAAAATACATAAATGAGAAGCAAATAATTACTTCCCTAATTTTTTTTTCACAGTATTGTATATCACCCTCAGTAACCCACATGACTTTTATGTGTACCAAAACTAATGTTTAACCAATTCTATGCTTTTGAGTCACTGTGACTGAGTGTTACATAAGATGGTTAGTTTACATGAGAAAACAAAATAGTGGATTTTCCATGATCACTAAGGAATAGAATGATGATGATGAAACCAAAAGTAAACACTATATTCACTTTTGGTCAAATTTGGCCTTTATCAGTGTATTATATAAATCGTAATACATAATAATAATAATACAGATGAATCACTATTTTGTATCGCCTACCATTTATTATTTTTTTACCAGTATCAGCATGCCTTGTGATCTCAGTATTGATCATGATCTCTCAAATCTCTCAGTGGAAAACAAACAAACCTTTTTGCCAATGTTTTATAAGTGGTGATGACAGTTTTAGCCGATGGCATAGAGTCAACTCCTTACCTCATGTTCAGAACAAGTGCTCTTATTGACAGCTCGGTCTTCTAAGAATGTACTAAATGAAACTCGGTATGGGTGGTATGAACAGCATGACTCTTCCATTTGGCATTCAGGAACTCAATAACTGTGAGACACTTTGGTTTGTTGTCACATACATGTATTGCAGTTAATTTTCTGGGTACAGTTTGTGCTTCCTTAACCCCTAAAATGTTGATTGGATAATTGCGAAATGCATTATACAGTACATTAGTTAACTTAACATCCGTCTTCAGCCAAATTCAATTAAGGGTGCACTGTGTAACTCTTCTGTTGGAGGATCTGCCATTTTCTCCAGGGAGAAAAGCAGGGGTCAGAATGTCATTATTTAATCTATCTCAATGGAAAAGGACAGAGCAGGCAACCAGACCAAGTAGCAGATCTTCAGGTCAGATCTTTGGATAACAATAAAAACACTTGATACTGAATAAATGCAAGATAGATAAGTTAAATACCATACTATGAAACATTCCAAGCAAAGCAATAACATCTCCATGGAGGCAAGTAGCTAGTGGACCGCACCAGAGAAGTTAAGCAGTGCTCTTTTAAATTAGGCTTTAACTGGTTCTTAAAGTAAGTGGTATAACAGTGTTTTTGTGTGTTATGTTTCACCTGTGCAAACCTGATGGTCCCCCGTGCAGGCATAAGTTGTCAAAGGTTGAGGTTGTCTTTTTTGTGATTGGTGGATCGATACTTGCTCTGTTAGTAAGCTGCCATCCCTCAGGCACTTTCCCACAAATAGGCTTGCACCATCTCTCCGTTGCACCCCTCTCTCTCTCTCTCCCCTGATCTGCCAACGCCCCCACATCCTTTGTCTCATGTACTCAGTGTTGTTTAGTCTGGTCCCATCCACATCTGTCTGCGTTTTTATACATCTCTCAATCTCCGCAACCTTCTTCTATGTCTGGTATAAACATTTCACTTACTGGCCACACTGTTAGCTAAACATCATTACTAGTGCATTGCTTTGTTGAAACATTAGAGTATAGTGTAGCCTGTCTGATTGAAAGTTGTCTGCACATCTTAAAATAGAAGTTACTGCCTTTTATCTGTCTCTTCTATCAGCACAGAACCTGATATTACATTAGGGTTGGAGAATACCATGCCCAAGACCTAAATAGTTACTTGATCAGTCATTATACCTAAGAAATAATAAGATAATTCATTATTTTCATTGCCTTAAGTGGATTTCCATACATCATATATTTAACATTAGTGCTGAATGTAAACAACTTTAAATATTTATACATTTTAATCAAGTTCCATCTTTTTCTGCTTACATAAGAAGAGTCCGTTGACCTATTAACTGAGATGAAGGCAGTAGTTGCCCCCCCCACACGCTGCAGTTCAAATGTGCACAGTTGGCCTTACATTCATGTAAAAGACATCCTTGTATCAGACCACAGAGTGAGTCAGTGTGGCCCAGTGGTTCAATTTGAATTAACCCAGAACTGCCAACACTCATTCGTGTATGCATGGACAGCAAACTACATGGAGAAACAGGCTCAAAGTGTTGATTTTATGTCATGGGCAGTTGAAATGTGGTCTCTATGTGTGTGGCTGTAAATGTCTCACTTGTAGAACTTGATAAAACAGACATTTTCAGCTCAGATCAAGAAATTTCTCTCATCAACATTAGCCCAGCTGCATTGGACAAATACAGTTTATACTAATGTGAATGTGCTACTCACTCACTTTGATTGTGCTCTTTATTTATTCTGTTATGCATTTTAATGTATCCATTAGATGTCACACAGGCAAATGTACTTTTTGGAACATTTCCAAAACTAGGTGAAAAATAATACAAATAATTTCTCTTGGAATCCCAGGAAACATGTGTAACATGTTGCCATAAAATACATTTCAGTGTAATATTTGCAGCTCTTTACATACAGTAATTACTTGAAACACTTTGGGTGTTAAGTAAGATGTGACTTTTTGCTTTTTTGAGCCTTCAATCATAGTCATTGAATGTAAAAGGTGAAGACAGTTGTGAACAAACTGTCACACTCCAGGAGTTATGATATATGTAAAAGGTACATGTCTATCATTGCTCAGTACAAAACATAGTGTGCGTAAATTGCAGGTGTCAGCGCGGACAGAATGCAGTATCAGGAGGCGAAACCAAGCGGCCATGCCACGCACCTCCAGCAAACGCAGGAGCCGCTTCTCGTCCCTGTGGGGCCTGGACACCACCTCCAAAAGGAAGAGCAAGACACACCCCTCCGTTAACCAGGTTCAAGGAATTAATAAAACTACCAGGGCTGGGTTATGATCAATAACTGTAATTTTAGCTATTAGGATCATAATGACATCATTTACCGCCCTGACAATTTGCCGTCTCTTCCCGTTCTTCACCTAATTACCATTTTTTAAGAAAGAAATTGAGCACCTTATTTTAAAAAAAAATCACTTACACTTATGTACAAAAAATATATATATTTTATTTCTCACTAGTTATGCATTGATTTGATTTAAATGTAACAAATGTATCTGTTGTCAGGTCTTTGTGGATGGGACTGAGCCAGTGCGAAAACCTTTGGAACAAATGTTTGAAGACTCTGCTAGCGAGAAATCGGTAAGAATTTAATACTTTCATGTTGCAGTCATGTTCCACAATTTATAGTCTATTGTTAAAGTACAACATCAGATAAGTATTTGCCAATAACTTAACTACTTACCCAGGGCTAAAATCCCATTTATCTCTTTTTTCTTGCATTGACATTTTCTCGACAGAAAATGTAAATTGCACGGCTGTAGGCAAAGTCCTTGTCAATGTTTTTCTTACTCATAACTCTACATTGAAATTACTGAGACAGCTGATAAACCCTTGTATCAGTATAATGGGCTCATAAAGACCCCCAGGACTTTAACATCTTTGGATTTTCTGCCCTTTTTCATGCAAATTATTCTTTTGGTGCTCTGGTTTCTGCATTTGGAGGTTATTTGGGGTGAAGTTTTAGATCTTTTCACTTCAAGATGATCTCAATTAAACAAGACTTCAGTGAACATGGGTTAATATTAGATAAGACTGCACAACATATTAGATAATTTATTGATAACTGAAATTTAGAACTATTTCAAAGTCTGCAGTTAAGTGATCCTTTGATTTTAATGTTCAAACTAAACCAGATATTCCTTTGTAAATTGGAACAGATTTATATGATTTATAGATTATCCAATTATTAAAATATACACTTATTGTGCTCTTCAATAAATCAGTATACATACTGTGCATTTTTATGTATCCAGATAATCCTATTTTAGATGCTATTTATCCATTTCATTCTCTTGCTGAGAGCATTTAATTTTCCATTCCACCTTTAACTTCTTCATTTGCCTATTGCTGTATATTATCCTTTTCTTCATTTTAATTGCTTGGAGGGCTAAATCTGTCAGGATCACAGACCATCGACTGAGGGGGTATTTGTGGCTGCTAATCCCACTGAGGAGAATTTGATCTGATATGTTCAGATCATTAGCTTTCTGATGTTTCAGCTAATTATGCGGACACTTGGTACCAGAGGACTTGGCAGATTTGCACCATCTGTTCCCTGCCATATTGACTGTTGTAACTTATAGACAATTTAAAATAACGAGTAACTTTTAATTATTCAAAGACTTGACAGGATTGAGACTTTCAGCCAAAGTCTTATCAATGATGCAAGCTGAAAATGTCCAATTACCCAAGGGTTGCACTAGGACAAGGCGGTGAGCTTTATATTTTATGAGCACTAGCAAAAGGCAGCTTCAAATGAGATACAAGAAGGCACTTTGCATGAACTCAAGCCAAAAGGGCAATATGGTGAACTGAAAATTGAATTACTCACAATGCCCTCTATACCTTAAACAAAAAATATTGTTTTTTAGAGGCAGATTTCAAATGTTTTAGAAGTTACAAGACTTAATATAGATACAGATAAATTACAGTTTGTCATTGTTGCATTTACCCCTTAAAGGTCATATATTATGTCAAATTGTCTCTTATGAGCTGTAAGCAGTGTTCCTTCTAAATAAAATCCCCACTCCCACTCTCACGTTTTTTCCAGGGGACATGAAAAATTAGGGGGAACATTGGCTGTAAGTCATGTTATAATGTTCTTACGTTATCAAAAACACATCTGGAGTTGTGTTTTGTTCACGCATGTTTAAGTAACTCTTTATTATTAGTCTATCTCCAAATCTCAAAATGCTCTGTTCCACCTTGTGATGTCATGAAGCTGTAGTTTTCATGTTAACACCTTAAAGCTTTTACCTTTTGCTTAGAAAAGATTGGCAATTCCAGGGGTGAAATTACCCAAATGATTCTAGAGAAGGGGTGTGGAGTTTAAAAACACCCCTTAATTACCACATGACATCACAAGATGGAGTGTTTTCAGTTTGAGAGAAGAACTCAGCCTGAATATCCAGCGTTTGTATGTTAGACGTGTGAATGACAAACATCATTATAACATAGATCAGTGTAATATGAACCTTTTAATATGCAAATTAGAGAGGGGGGACTGAGGCAATAGAATGGCAAATATTGTTGTAATAAAATTGAATTATTTATTGATATCACTTCAGGTCAAATAATAAGGTTTGGAGAGTGAGTATCACAACTTTCCCACAGTTTTTGTAATACCAGTAACAGCAGCAACGTTGGTAGTAGGAAATCTGATTCTGTCTATTTTACCAAATGTCAGACTTCTTAATCTTGATTTTAATTTACATTTAGCAATTTCCTGAAATACATTTTGGTGGTTGATGTATTTTTCTCGAGCTGTAGATGTGAGGGGCTCGGAATGATGCTACATTGTAAACAGTCTCTCAGTTTCCCCTCTAATTGTTCATATGCCGCGCCAGTGTTTGTTCTGGGAAATAGAAAGAAAAATGTGTTGCCTTGGACTCCCGCCCCACAGCAGGGGGGTATCGGAGATGGACCAGGAGGGGAGCCAGATGGTGCTGGGGAGTGTGGCTCGCTTGAGGGGGGTGTATGTCTTGCCATTGCCCCGATAGTCTGTTGTCTTGAAGCCTTCTTGTTTTGATTGTTTGTGCATATGAAAATGTGCATCTCTTATCTATAGCCAACATGCAATGCAATCAAGTTCATTTAAAAAGACCAGATTGCTTATTGTCAGCAGATTGTATTGTCTGTGTGAATGGGAAGTGATGGGTAGATAGAGTGGAAGGAGCACGGCAAAGACACCCAATGATCAATGAAATAAACTGAAAAAGAAGGGGTTGTTCAGAGCACTAGAACTACATAAAATAAATAGGAGAGTTAGGTCTTTAATAATCAGACACAAAAGTTTGTTGTATAACAGTATGTTGTTCATGGGTATTTATAATATTTACAGTTATAATTTTTTGTCAATAATTCCAAAATTCAGGGCCCAAATGATATCTAATGTTTAATTTGTAGTAGTAGTTAGCAGTAGTCCCACTGTGCTGTCACTATAGTATTGGTGATCATATTGTCATTGTAATATTAGTTATAACAGCAGCAATAACAGAAGTATCTAATTCAGTTATATTTTTAATTTTGCTCACGAACCAATATTATTACCAAATGGCATCACACTTTGAGTAATTATATGCAGCATCCAGATAATAGCCCCTAAAATAAAAAAGTTATCTTAAATGTAGCTTCAAATTGAAATCCAGATGTTGCCAGACTCAATGGTCAGTGAAAAAAATGAACAAAAGGCGAGATTTGCGGGTGCTGCTGTTGTAAGGTGATAGGAGCAGATTAGATTTCGCTGGGTCAAATAAAAGGATGGAGATAGAGAGCAGGAATGCTGTCATGGCTGCCAGATTGTGAGAGGTCAAAGTGAAAAGATGGACACTACAGCTCGCACACATGTAGAGGCAAGGATACACACACACACACATACATACATACAAACCATATGTACACAAATTAATTAGATTTTGTTACTAGATCTCCAGACCACCAGTGCTGTCTATCACATTAGTCCAATCAATTTGAGCCTATCTGGTGTCTAAAAGCAAAATTATGATTTATTAGTAGCATATTGTTGTCACTAATACAATACAGAATCTTCACTGTCTGAAACATTAATATGAACTGAGAGGCTTTTATGATCACATCAAGTTTGTAACACATCATGCTTTCCTTTGTTTTTTCTCGATGTGAAATGACAGTTAAATGATGCACTATAAGTCTGTGTCTGTGTTGTATTTTTCAGAAGGATAGAGAAGGCTCGGTGAAAAGTCTTCCACAGCAGAACATGGACAGTGACATCTGGGTGCCCGATTATGTGGCTCCGTCCTGGGTATGTTTACCCAACGATCAGCCCATCCTGGCTATCATCCGACCTGGAGAGACAGCACTGGAGGTTCTCAGCTCTGTCTGCAAGGTTTGGCAATTTTACATAACTAGGGATGGGGGTATCAGTATCAAAATATTGGTAAATCAATACTGACTCAGTACAATTGTACGTATCGATATTGTATATGTGCACATACCGATACTAATTAACATGTCTCATTGAAGCTCTTTTGTATACATAATATATCTCTTGAAATACCTTCACCTATAAGGTTAGACCAATATCGAAAAATTACCCAAAAATGACTTGGTATTGGAATGTAGCCAAAATTTTTATATCGCTGATCAATCACCCATAACTAGCCACTATGATGAAAAAAAGAGCATGTATTTATATAAGAAAATTGTACATTTTTATTTAAACTTTTCAATTTGTACCTTTCAGAGTAGTTATTGTAAACATTGTGTGACTTCATAGTACCAATAGCAGATTAGCAGATTAGATTTACTTATTATTTTTATAATAAGCAAATTATTTTAATGTAAATGTAATAAATGTTTTTAATAAATAAATTGCTCATCAAAATCATAATTAGTGATATATATTAAAAAAATAATACAATATCAAAAGTCTGAAGTGCTCTGTCTGTGGTAAGTCAATGTTAATGTTAACGTTCATTAGCATTTAATCATAGGTCAAAAGTACTTTTAGTCAAATACTTTTAGAACATCTATTTTTTGTGCTGTAAAAAATTCAATAATTTCAACCTATGCTGATTATATAATGGATGATGGATATAATTATTAAAACATGTAGAAGCCAATTTTAACAATGTTATAACTTATTCCCCACAGTCTCAGTTTAAAGTGTGACCTACTATATCTTGCCATCTAAATGTTCTTCTCAATCTGTTCTTTGCCTCTTCACTGAGAAATGTGATGCCATATAGACACTTTCCTCCTACTTAAGGCAGTCCCACATATACTGTTATATATAGGTTGGATGGTTGATTGATGTGTCTGTGGGCGTTGTGTACTGTATAAATGCCAGAAAGATGTCACAAGAACTGGAGCACTTAATGCACAGTTGTGTATGTGTTACATACTTTAACTTTACATGAAGAATACATTATCTGGTGCATCTGTGATGCTCTGCTTTTACTGGGGGATGTCATGTATGTGCTGTCCCTATACCTGACAGAACGACTACACTACGGTTACACACCCTTAACTTACACTGACTTTAGCTGATTTGACAGATATATGTATTTTAGGGAATTTTTAGGGAACACTTGAAGTAATGGATTTTTAATGGGTAACTAGTAATAAAACCAGTAATAAAAGGCATAATAAGCTATTTTACTTTATAATAACCACATTTTCCTTATTACTTATCCAAATACTCTATAGTAATTACTTCATTAGTATTATTAACATTAAAATATCTTTGAAATTTACTATTTTACTAAGAATTAGCTATTGTAATTTCATTTCATTTATTTTTATTCAGGCATGCAATTTCAACAAAGCATTTGAACAAAAATGCAGTTAAAGGGCCCATATTACAGTATTTTGTGGTCTGTCATAATGTTGTTTCCTCATCAAAAACATACCTGGAGGCTGAGTTCTTCTCTCAAATGGAAAATACTCCATCTTGTCATAGAATCCTTTGTATAATTTCAGCCCTGGAATTTCCAATTTCTGCTAAACAAAAGGTTAAAGGTAGCTGTTAACTTGAAAACTACCACCTCATGACATCACAAGATGAAACAGAGCATTTTGAGCTCTGGAGTTATAAACAGCTCAATAAAAAAGGATTACTCTAACATGTCTGAATGAAAAAAAACACAGTTCCAGAAATGTTTTTGATAAGGTAACAACATTCTAACATGGCTTAAAGCTCTCAAGAGTAAATTTTGTGTAATATAGGACCATTCAGTCAGCACATGGCTGAATAGTAATGTGGTAAACGATGTAATTTTAATTTATTGCATTTGTCCCGTTTCAGACCCACAAGCTTGAAACATCCAGCCATTACCTTCGATTAAAAGTTTGGGTTGATCACCAAATGCTCATCTATGTGCCAAAACTTGAAGAGGAAATTTCAGATGTGGTAAGAAATTATTTGTTTAAATGTAATATAATATATACCATATAATATATTCTTATGTCATTTAATACAATGGTTCATATGTAAACCTTTATCGCCTTGCATACTAGTTCATTGTCAGATACTTTTTCATTTGCATTTTGGGGTCATCACCTGATTATTAATTAATTTCTGACAGTTCTTGGCAAACACAAACGAGGCTTGTGCATGTTTGATGATTTTGTGTTGAATTCCCTGGATGCATAGACCACAGTTAGACAGTTACATAAATAATGCAAAGTTACTTCTTTAGTCTCTGTTTGTGTTTTTTTCTGTATTTAATTATTCAGTTTAGACATTTACAGCTGTTAGAAACAGTCTCTTTTCAACTATGTTTTGTGGGTGACACATTTAACCCCATTTCAAGCACATTCATTGTTGTAATCCGTTCTTTTATCTGTCTCTTTGATCATTCAGCCCACAACTATCTTTAGCCCATGGTAACACATCATTATATCTTTACCGAAAGTGAAATTGCACACTCAAGACTTCTGTTGCTTCATACACACAGCTGTGCCTATGCTCCTATTCACTGCGTCTCTCTGATCACCCACTCCCTTCACCCAGCGTCTTGACCTCACGACCTTCACGTTGCAATAGCTTTATTAAGGAGCCTGAATAAAACATGAATCCATTCTTTGTTAGAGCAATGACCTTGACTTTTTACAGGCCACAGTCACATGGTCGATTTTTCAGTGTTTACTGCCAATTAAATGTCTCTTTTTGTTGTCTTGTAGCTCTACAAAGAGATTGAAATCAGCCCAAAAGCTACAAAGGTGGTCTGCTTTGACAAATATGAGTCCTGCACTGCGGGATATGGTAAGCTTGAAGATTATTAATAGTATTACTTCAGTGGAATAAAACCTATTAGAAAATGAAATGCTTACTTGCATATATTCATATACTAATATTTTGGTAAATATGTGGTAATAATAGTAATATAATAATAAGAGATAAAAAAGACATTTTATTGATAATCCCTATGTCCCTGTCCTAATTATCATAATTACATTAAATAATTTAACATTTTGAAATATCATTTATCAATATTTCATTTTATTTGAGCAGTAAACATGAATAAATAAATAAATCAAAGCTCAGAAGAAGTTATCTGAAGTACAAATACCTGTATTATACCCGAGATTATACTACAGTAGATTTTTTGCACAATATTAGTCAATATGTAAGTCTTGGTCCACAGTGAGCTTTGAAAATAAATTGACTTCATAGATGTGTAAGCCCTCTTGACATAGATAGATCTGCTCCAGCCAGACCCTTATTACCAAATCAATTTGATTTTAGAAATTGGATTTTAGCCTGTCATGCTGCATTAAAATGAATGAAATATGGTAATTTTGTGTGGCTGTAATTGTTTCAGCATTGATACATTGAGGTCATGTAATGTAATATTGTCTTTCATAATTTGTGTTTGTAGGTTTTTCTGTAGCAGTGATTGATGAGGATGGAACCCAGCAGCTGCATATCACTGAAGTCAAACCTGATGGACTGGCAGCAGCTAAAGGTAAACAAAAAAATGTCTAAAATTATAATTTTACATTAATTTAAAATCATATAACTGTGCATTTCCATATTATATTACTATATTTCCTCACAAACATCTTGCAGCTGTTTAGTTGGGAATGGCACGCATGCTGGATAGTCATAACACCTATTTCAGTTGAACCAGTAATAGAGGCAAAATATTACAATATTGATAATTGTAAATGCAGTTATTTTTTAGATACCAACTGTTTGCATTGATTATTTATTATTTACTGCACACTAAGTAAATAACTTTACAAACAGACCCACTTTGACTTGATCAGCTATAATGATATGATCTTGCATTTAAAAGACAATAAATTATATTTATTGGATCTTTGTTGCAATTACAGCACACCAGAATGCCTCTTCACGGTCCCATAGCTCTTTGAAAATGGATGAATGCCTCATTTCTACCTGACCTGCTGACTACAGTTGTGTCAGTAGCTCTCTCTCCTCTCTGCACTGCACAGACCTAATAGACCTCAGAAATGGAAGGCTGCAGATAAAACACTAATGTACAGAAAATAGCACGCCCCAGGGTCAAAGCAAGGTTATTAAAGTGTGAGATCATAACCTCCCAGTGCCCCATTTGCAATGTAAAAGATGCGTGTTCAGCAGACTGCTCTACTGCCTGTTTTAAGTAAAGACATGTAGATAAAGCTTAAGCAAATGTTATGAGTAGTAATATTAGTTCACTGAATTGAAATGAGTAGATGAAGGGTGAAATATAATCTAACAAATCAGGATGCAGCCACTATGTATCTTTTTAGTAGGGGACTCACACCTTCTTCTTTCCATACAGATGGTAAATGGTAAAAATACATTTTGTTCTCAGTTTACTATCTCACGTCAAGTTCACTATGCCGCCCCCTGTTTGATGCGTCCAGTAAAAGCAACTAGACAAAGCTCTTTAATATTTTTGAACTAGCTGAATCACCAGTCAGCAGGCATAAATCTCCACTGGTTTGTAATCTGAGTTAAAGCAAATGAACTGGAAACTAAAACAAATGCTTAAGGGTTGAAGCAAGAAACCAGGCCAGTGCTGGACAAGCAGGCCCAAAGGCTCTTCTAGAATCTTTCTTTTTTCCTCTGTGTAATTCTCATCCCCAGCCTCTATACAAGTGCAAACATTGACATACAAACACATAGACACTCTATACTCTGCTTCTCCTCCACACTGTAGCATATGACCACAGGGTTTATCTCTAGTGCAATAAAGCCTGACAGTTCACATGGTAGACAAGTAGGTCATAACTGAAGGCTAAATGTAGGGCTATACATAAACCCGTGTACAGTTTAGAGCTATCCTTATTCACTATACCAGCCAACAGAGAATAAAAAAGATGTCAAGGATGTATAGTGTGCCAAAAACCTTGCTCCAGGCTAACAAATCTTCAGACCATTTGTCTTCATTTTGCATTACGAGCGAATGAACGCACTGACGAGATTTCTAAAGTGGCTGCCATGACCATTTAGCTTTATTGGCTAGTGTTAGCGGCTAATTGGTCAGCTGATCTAGTGGTAATTCTCAATTAGTGTGATAAAGAACAGGTGGTCAGTGTGGGAAGGGGCAAACTGGACCATAAACACAAACTACTGTTGATACTGGGCCTGTCTGATTTCTATACATGATGCATTTATTACCAAACCTGGACAAATATGAAGTAAATTTCTTTTTTATTGTATAGTCTTGTTAAGATACAAATTACCTGTCTGTTCAATATATAAAAACATCACAACATGTTTTATTTGCCATATTAATGCTATCTTATACATAATTTAGCTTAAAACATAAATTGCCTTTGTAGGTATTCGAGCGGGGGATGAGATCTTGTTCCTGAATGGTAAATCAGCGTGTGCTTTGGACATGGAGGACATGAGGGGTGCATTTGTGAACCAAGCAGTGTCCCTGACTCTGAGTGTCCTGCCACAGCTCGACCCCCGCACCGTCTGCCCTGCCCCACCTCGCCGCACGTACGGGGAGCAGGACACATCCACGGATATCTTCTCCCAGAGCCAAGGTATTTCCTGTCTTATAAGTTATAGATTTATAGAGGGATTGTCAAAGTGTGTCTCTTTGCGCTCTACTGCGCTTGTTTCCTGCAGAAAGAGCCACTGTTCTCTCTGGTACACAGGGTCTGGGGTTCATGTCTGTGTCTCGTAAGATTTCAGCGGATTTCAGGCTCTTCCGGGGTTTAGGTTAGTTGTATCAATCAGGTATGAGTCCGGCTACTCGTCATTTAAGCAGTCACCTGATTTAACATATATGGATTATTAAGATGTATCCCACTCACTAATGTTAGTTTAGCATCATAACTTATTTTATTGCACGGGGATAAACTGTTTTAGTGAAGTGACAACATCGCTAGCTAACGCTGCCCCCGCGCAGACAGCGGCGCTTTCTGCACTCAGGCTGCGCACGCATCCGCTGCGTTGATAAACAAACAATCCTTCTACGTTTATCCAGGTTAAGTTTATTTGTTTTGGTTGTTTTCATAAAGGGAAAAGAGGGTGACAAATTTTTCTCTTTAAAATTAGTATGAATGTAAAAGATATGGACACAATTTTTATGTCCACATTATGTTGATAAATGTAACCCTGGGAGATCTAATCCACAGTCTCATTGATCTCATTGAGGCAGCAGAAGTAACCACTCTGCCACCCTCGTATAGAATTGTCAGACATACTTAAGGTTTAGACTAAGATGGTTAGAGTCTTGTTGAAATGAACATAAGAAATATCAAATTAACAACCTGAATTTATCTTACATTTCCATAAAAAAAAAAAAAACTTAAAAGGGTAATCCCTGGTGATATCTCAGTTGAACATTGCTTGCAAAAATTAAGATGAGTCTTTGTGAGGGTTTTAGCTAAATTGTCAGGTAGATAGTCCATGGGGATTACTTTTAGAAGATTATGATCAAGAAGCACCTTGATGTTGCCACATTACTTACATAGTAAGGTGTATAGCATCTTTATTAAAGCCCAAAGTCATAGAGCATACTCCCTCAAGGTCGTCTCCTCAATCTTTCGAGTGTGTTGCCTATTTTGTTTTGGTTTGTTGTTTTTTTCTCTACACAAATGCCTATAAACTACAGGTAAAGATGAACAGGATTTGAGTAATTATGCATAGCTCTTGTCTTATGCTAGTTAGCTTTCCCTTGACCTCCCCTCTTTATCTGTTCAAGGGCACCATTTGTATTCCTGGTAAATTGGGGTCTCGTGTTGCATGGGCTGACAAGCTGCTGTTGTTTATACAAGGACTCAGTGCAGTATGAATATTAATATGAATCCTTGAGCTGTGTGGACCTGTCATTGCACCAGAGAGCGCCATATGTAAGGGTCACAGCCACTCAGAGAGGTTAGAGATGTTATCAAGCTGAAGGGTGAATCACAACGTGCCTTCAAAGCAAAGGACATTTTGTAATCACTGATCCTGAAGATAAAATCCTCTTGAACATAGTGTATGCTCCGTGCTCCTATCTATTTTCTTCTGGTGTCTTTCTGGTGTTCTGAAAATGGCCTGTTTGAGTAAGGAAAAAGTTTTTTGTTTTTTTTGTTTTTTTTAAATATGTGCATATATGTCCTACTGTGTTAACCTGTTGAGGAACTACAGACTTATGTGTAATGTTTTATGTTATAAATACATTTTTTTAGACAGGTTTTGAAGAGGTGGCCATGTCCCTCAGAATAGAGTTTAATCAATGTACAATTTAACCAATTGTACTTTTTAAAAAATTTGTTATTTGATTAATGGTCTGGCCCTACCCTGAAATGTAATTGAACATACAGTTAAAATAATTGTCTTTTTACAGAGGATATTCTGGATGAAGTCTCAGGACTGACAGTGGAGAGCCCTAATGAAACCTTGGACTCATCTCTCCAACTCCAGAGCCCCTCAGATCCAGATGATCCAGCCTGCATAACAATGGGACAGAGGGTAAGAATACCGGCAAAATAAACATTCTACTATATACTATACTATATAAAAAATAGGCACCTCAATACAGGCCAAATCTAATGTACAGAGAAAAGCAGCTTACCAGGGGAGCTCTGTGAAGATTGGAACCATCATAAATAATTACCCACAGGATGAGAAGCAGCTCTGCATGGTATTGCATTTCTAGAGTTCACGACCTCTTCATATGCACGTTTGAAGTAGCTGATTATTTGCATGATAGTGTTTCAGTGCGTTGACAGGGTTGTTTGTCATATGCTTGAGCTGTTGGATACATTTCACTTATGCTGCTTTGATATACCTCTCTTAAAGAAAAAAAAATGCCCATGATTAGTGACAGACCACAAATAATGATGTTATGTATTTAAACATAATCACCCAGAACAGTCTCAGTTTAAGAAATTGCTGCAGATTTTAGTTTTAGCAACTAATTTGATAATATTACCTCTTATGAAGTTTTAATCCCTCCTGTAAGTGTGTATTACTGATAGTGATTGTAATCTTCAAATATTTATAATAATTCAAACTAATAATAACTAATTAATAAAATAGTAAATATTAAAATGTATATATTTGAGATTTGAACTGCTTACACATTCTTCATTATACTTCCATCACATTCAATTTATTGCGTATATGGACATCTGGTTGTGTGTTTTACCATTAGCACCAACATATGGCCTGATTTTTTATTTTTTTTATGTTGAGAACAGCTGTTTTTGTGTAACAGATTTGGCTCTGTCTATTGTTCCTGTTGTTGAGTTCATAAACAGTTGTCTATAGCATAGGTGTGAGGCTAGAGACAGACAGGTGCAGCAAAGAGCATCCCAAACTGCATCACTTTGTAATTACACCAGTGTCTGTTCTGATCAGGGTCAGACCTGCGATGGCAGTGTCGCCCCGTTTCCTTTGGTTACGCCTGTCACATCCATTACCACAGCAATGGCTGACGAGCAGTAACAACCGGAAACAATTATTTTTGTTCCTGTCGATATCCCGTTCTAAAATGAGGAATGGGAAAAGCTACTGCCACTGTCCTGTCTCTGCTTGTGTCACTGAGCTTCAGTCTCAAAGCAGGGCAAACAAATTGTATCAGATACAGTCTAGACGCAGTACATTGAATATTAGTGACTCTAATGTGTTTTAATTTTTTTTATTGTTTACTTGATAGGAACAGGTTCAGAAAACATAAATTAACATGCTGTGATGTGATGCTGGTCATCGTTTATAGCCTTGGCTGATTTGCAACACCAGTTAGTGGGCTTTTGATTTTGAATTAATGAATGACTGAAGGTTAGAAATTTATCAAATTGATGTTATATAATACAATGACAATGAAGCTGTGAAGAAAATGTTCTATTGTTTTCTAGTGAATGAACAGCTATTTGGGGCAATTCTGTGTGGGGTTTTCCTGGAGTTCTCCCTTTATCATGAATGACAGGTTGCATATGGGAAATGTTCCAGTAGAAGCAGCACGTTTTGTCAGTAGGACTTTTTCAGCTAAAGCAAATAGTATAGTGTGCAATTTGATTACTGTTCTTGTACTGTAATATAGTCATTGTATTGGTAGTTGGTACCTATCCTTGCAATGAAAAAAAACTCTATTTTAACTCTATTTTAAAAAATTTAAATGTTGTAAGTTTTTTTTCCTTGTCCTTTTTCTTACCCTTCACTCAAACCCCCTGTTGTCTTTTCCATAAATGACTTGCGAGCACCATTGTCTCTCCAAACAGCACAGCTTGTCTAACTCTCCATCCTCCAGTAAACCATGACTCAAGCCTGAAGCACATCCATTGTCTTCAAGTTCTCCCTCATATTCCTTGGGACCCCTTCATTGTAAAATTTCATGTCTTTTCCCTTTTTTATAACATCCCATTGTTTCACCACCAGTCCCTAGTTTGGTGAAGTCTGGACTTGCATTTTACCTCATTTTCGTGTGCACCCGCGGTCACATGCTGTTGAGATTGAAGAAAAACACTCAAAGTGGGACATTTTTAATTATCTGCACATTCTAATTACTCCATTCTCCACAGTGATCCACATCATTTAGAGGAGATAAATGGATGTCTGGCTCGCCTCGGGAAACAGGAAGGTTCATTATTGTAGACAAAGCCTGGGCCCACCTCTTTAGTATGATAAACCCAACACAGAATAAAACAATGATTGCCGGGGATAACAGTCATTATAGAGACAGTGGTTTTGGTTTTAGATTGAAACACCAGGAGGAAATGTTTTGATTGTTATGAACATTTTTGACAAGGTCTGTAAGTGCCAAGGACAAAGTGGTTAATTTTAGTTTGGATTCAATTCATTGTTTAAAATGAGAGCCTTAGGAGTTTTAAGAGTTGACTCTTATTTGTCTTTGTGGCGTCTATTAGACTTTATTATGTCTTTTTATAAATCTTCCTAGACCTTGCATTGGTACTGTTTTCTCTATATTTATTATTGAATTGAAAGGCATTATTTTTGTTGCTGTGCATTTGTTAATGGTTTGATTCCTCTCATTCATGGGTTTTGCTCAGTTGCATGTTCTGAGGTTTTCTGTAATTTCTTGTGTCTACCACTAGATGGAGTGCTGCACTAATTTGTAAAGTCAGCGTCATACAACAGCAGAGGCCATGACAAACTCATTTTTAATTATAATAATGATAATTTGAACAAACTACAAATTACTTTTTTCATTTTTATTTTTTCATTATTTGAGAAATGTCTCAAGTTAAAAAAAAAAAAACTGGAAGTGGTATATATACATTTTCAATTATAGCATAGCATGTTATTGTGCACATATCCAACTGCTTTAAACTGCTGTTTCTCTACCTATTCTTTGCTTTGTCAGATGCTGTATCCCATCCAGTCTTTATTTTCCAGAGCTATTTCCAAACTGACATTCACAAGTGCGAGCCTGCCCCAGTCTAAGGAGCAAAATGAATTCAGGTTATCTGAAGTGTCTAGCTAAATCAAATAGTATTTCTGCGACAACAGAATGATGTGTCAAGCATGGATTAACTCACTGTAATATGTGGTTAATTCAGCAGTGGGTGTATAGAACAGGTTGGTGCATGCTATGAAGCCCCTCCTCTTCACTCACTGTTCTATACATGCCGTAATTGGTATGTACCATTTCCAAGCAGAAGCTTCATTCAGTCATTTTTTGGAAATGGCGTGGTACGTTGGTTATCTAGAAAGGCTGTATTTCTGGAATGGCTTGTCAGTGACAGGTGCAATTTGTGGACTTCCCTTGATAAAGAAGAGCCTAGTCAGGGAATCTTGACTCTCATTTGAAAACAACCTGGAGATTTTTCTGCCACATTGATGTTTTTTATTTTATTAGTTCTTGAGTACTTTTTTGTTTATCTTTTTTTTGTTTTAAATCTTTTTGCTAGACTGGCAACTTATTAAGAACAAACAGACTGACTCCTGCTCTTTTTTCTGCTGGACATTGCCTCATTCCTGACCCCGCCCCCTCTCTCTCTCAAGAACCCTACTTTAGATCTTGTTTTTTATGTTGTAATCCTATCTGCTGCATTTGCTGCATCTACACACCTGGACTGCAAAGTGGGATTCTCCTTAAGAAATTACATGTTGACAAGACTTTTTTGCTTCAAAAATCAGTGAAGTAATTTTGATGGACTTCCAGCCTTTTAGCTCAGTTTTCATTCGTTTAACTGCATATTTCTTCTTCTCCATTACATTTGAGGAGAAAGAAAGATAGCTATTTTAGTGACAAATGGCTTTTACAGAATCGGCATTGCAAGAATCTTGATACCTGCCTTGTCTTTGACCTTTCTTTGTCCCAAGTCGACATGTCGATGTTTCGGAAGAGCAGATTTTCCAAATTCAAACGCTCGACCGAGTCCATCTATGAGGCGTTACAGCTGGTGAGCCCTGATCCTTTCTCTTTGGCTTTGATATGAGATTGAGGTGTGTGGATATAGGGACCAGTGTTGCCAATATACTGACAGTTTGCAGAGTATTTTGGCCTAATTTAGACACTTAGATGACTGGATAAATTGTCAAGTACCAATAAGTGAGTTGTGTTGGATAGCAGAGGATAATATAGTATCAATGTTTACAGTAACTACAGTGCGTATTCATTTTTTTACAACTGTGATATAATTTAGTCATTCTGAAACATTTACAGATACCATGAGTTTGCTTATCTAGATCGACGTGTGTGTATATGGCTAATTATCAACCCTGTAGTATGTGTACATTTTTTTTTCTTTCATCACTGCATCCAGGTATTCTTAAATAATCTTTCATTCATCCCCAGTGTGGACAGTATTGACACTGTTGTATGAAGTGTTTACAGGTCTTTTGATTTGTAATTTGCTTTTGATTTCATAAAAATCTACTGATTCAGGTGCAAATGTTACAAATTACAACTTTTTTACTCTATTACACCATTATAATTATTATTTAAACTGACACTTGTATGTTTATTTAATGGTGTATTTATTTGTCTTCTAATATGCTATTTGTTGGTGGCCCAAGATAAACTTGTTTGCTGCTCTAGTGGTTAGACTAGTTTGGATACCACAGTGGAAAGAAATGTTTGTCATTGGTGCAAAAAAGCTGTGAAATCAGCAAAAACAGTCTCCCAGCTGCTGAAGCCTAACTGTCAACAAATGGCAACAGTTTGTTATCATGCATTAGAAACACATTTAGTCAAATAGATACTTGATTTTACATACAGTGGCGAGGAGAAAATTCAGTTTGTCGACTGGACAAAAGTTAGTTTTGCAGCTCATCCAAGCTGCTTCTTCAGTTCAGCTTGGATGAGCTGCGAACCGTCTTCAACCAAACTAACTTTTGTCCAGTCGACAAGCTGAATTTTCTCCTCACCATGGATTCTAGCTGGACGACTGAGGTATTCTTTATATACAGTGGTATTCCTGCCATTGAGTGTTCTTTATTTACAGTCTGTGGGTCTACAGACAATTTCAAACATGCACAAAATAAAGTTCTGTGGGATATACAGTATACAGTACGACAATTGCATCAAATTATTCGCTATCATTAGTCCAACAGAAAACAGAAACAGAAAATTGACAAAAAGTACAGATCCACATCAACTTAGCACTTAGCAGTAGTACTTTAAAAAAAAAAAAAAAAAACTTTTTACTTCTCTCAAAGCTCAGTATTTTGTATTCTAGTACTTGTTTTGATCTTAACTACAAAACAAGAACATGATTCATTTTTCTTTATTGAGTGAAAATTATAGTCAAAGAAGAGGACATAGTTAGAGTCCTTAAATCAAGCCTTCGGTTACTAACACTGCAGGTCTGCTCTTGCTTGGTACTTCCTTGGTATTTTCTGCACTTACACTTTGAGGGTGCAGTTATTGAAAGAATGTGTGCTGTAATTTCCAGTCAGCTTTATGCTTCCATACCAAATCACTGAAGTCATGATATTCCCCACACAAAACTGTGAGATTTAAGTCATGTTAGAATGGTGTTACTTCCTCAAAAACATACCTGGAGTTGAGTTTTGCTTCATTCACACATGTTTGAGTAACCATATATTATTAGTCTGTTTACATCTCCAAAGCTCTAAATGCTCTGTTCCACCTTGTGATGTCATGAAGCGATAGTTTTCAAGTTAACAGCTACATTTTACCTTTTGTTTAGTAGAGATTGGCAATTCCATGGCTGAAAATAGCGATTCTAGTGAAGGTGTATGGAGTTTAAAACAAAGTGTATTACCACATTACATCTTAAGGTGGAACAGAGTGTTTTCGGTTTGAAAGAAGAACTCAGTCTAAATATCCAGGGTTTGTGTGTTTAACATATGTAGATGGCAGAAAATAAGTCCAGGTATGTTTTTGATGAGGAAACAACATTATATCATAGATCAGAAAATAGTAACAGTACTAATGTATTGCGACTAGTATTATTATTTTCTGCAACTTCAACAAATTTATTACTCAACATTTTTACCTAATTTTTCTCCCCAGAGCTCAGAGCAGGTGATTGGTTTCTGCCGCAGTCTCAACGACATAAACACTCCTGAAGCTTCTTCCTCGTCATCCTCATCCTCCTCGCTGTCCCCTAGTCCAGTCTCCGCTGCCCCACCTGCTGTTGGCACGGCAACCCAGAAACAGCTCACACACGCAGACAAACTCCGCAAGGTCATCAATGAACTGGTGGACACTGAGAAAACTTATGTCAAAGTCAGTACAAGCAAAAGTTAATTCTCATTCACACATGTAATTATTTATTTTAATTTAAGGCATTTGACTCATTTTTATGTTCTTTAGGATCTCAGGTTCCTCATAGATTGTTACTTAAAGCCTTTGCAGAAAGACAGCATCCTAACACAAGATGAGGTACTTCTCAACCCTTTGTGTATAGAAATAAAAAAACAAACTAAACAATAACATAGTGACAACATAATATAATTAAATTATTAAGGATCCTGACTGAAAACCTCGTGTCTGTTTTGTGTAGTTGGATGTCTTGTTTGGAAACCTTGGAGAGATGGTGGATTTCCAAGTGGAATTTCTCCGTACTTTGGAGGACGGGATCAGATTGGTTCCAGATTTGGACTGTCTGGAAAGAGTGGAGCACTTTAAGGTTTTCATTTTTATGTGGTTATAAGTTACACGTTAATATTAGTAATATTAATATTAGTCACTATTAGTTGCAAATTAGTTCTGACAATGGACTGAACTTGTCTTATACAAATCAATGTGTTTGTTTTTGTATTCTACAGAAAGTTCTGTTTTCTCTGGGAGGATCTTTCTTGTATTATGCTGATCGCTTCAAAATCTACAGCGCCTTCTGTGCCAGCCATACCAAAGTCCCTAAAGTCCTGGCCAAAGGTAAAAAAGAAACAGGCAAATACTACTTGACTCAACATGCATGCATTTGTGAAATATTTTCAACATAATGTTAAGTTAATCAAACAACAATAAAGTAATGATATTGATCAATCATGGTCACAATTTAACACAAGCCAAGGTAAACGAGAGAAAGTAGTCAATAGTGAGGGTGGCATATTGTGTAACCTTTTGCCAAAATCAGTATAAGGGCTCATGATTCTTTTTTTTTTTTTTTTTTTTTTTTAGCAAAAACTGATCCCGATTTCAAAGCCTTCCTGGCTGAGAGAAACCCCAGACAGCAGCATTCGTCCACCCTGGAGTCATACCTGATCAAACCCATTCAGAGGGTCCTTAAATACCCCCTACTGCTGAGGGAGCTGTACTCTTTGACTGACCCAGACAGTGAGGAGCACTATCATCTGGATGGTAACACATTTATTTGTTTAATTAGTTTACTTACTCGATAAATATCTATACATTTTAACTTTATCATCTATTTGGTGATCACAGTTGCAATGAAAGCCATGAACAAAGTGGCAAGTCACATCAACGAAATGCAAAAGCTGCATGAAGAATATGGAGCAGTGTTTGATCAGCTCATCAGTGAACAGACAGCCAATAAAAAAGTGGTAAGCACTTACGATATTTGTTGTATGTAATAACCATACAACCTTTAATTATAAGTTAAATCAATGTTATTGTTTATTCAAGGTTCCTGACCTCTCAATGGGAGATCTGCTTCTCCACTCCACAGTGAGCTGGATCAATGCTCCATCCACTTTGGTCAAGAGTAAAAAGGACCCAGAGTTGGCTGCTTTTGGTAAGGATCTACTTAACAACTGCATATATCAGATAAATAAGATAAATTTATAAAGTTATGTATATGTATTCATGGTGTATGTGTATTTCTACTTAGTTGGTAGTGAATAATACATTTGTATGTTGAAACATTACACTTGCACAATGGAATTACAAATTACAAAATTACAAAAAAAAGAAAAAGTAATTTATAAAAAAAGGAAAATAAAAATAAATAAAAGTAGACATATGAGTAATATAGGTACAAAAAAAAGAAAAGAAATGAAGCTTACCAATATGTAAGTAAATTGCAAGGAAACATATGGTTAAAGCTATTACTCAAAAAAGTATCGATTGTGCATTATTTGTATGTTGAACACAGTACCGTTGAAGTATTCTAATTTATACCTAAATCAGATTTTTGCTGTGTCATTTGTGCTTCATTATCAAATACATATGGGGTAAATGATGTTGAACACAACCTGGTGCATGACTGCACAGTTATGTAACTCTGACAATCCTGCCAGCACGAGGATTTCAGATGAACAGATGAGACCCGTGATAATCTCAGAGTATAGAACACTAAACCTGTGTAGAGAACATGGTGTGAATAGAGTATAACATTTCAGTTAGCTTCTCGTTATGGACATGCTTCTGTTTAGTCAGAATTATGAACAATTTTCTGTTTAATCCAACAAAAGTGTAATAGTTCTGCTATAATATACATAAACATACTTTGTTATTTTTTTATGTATTGTAATAGTTACCTGTCATTTATCATGTTCCTTACCTGGCTGATCACTAAATTATGTATGTGGAGTCTCATGTCTTAACAGTTGATAATGATCATAACTTACTAAGCAATTAGTTTTACAACTTTTTTTTTCTTCTTCTTTGTCCCGATAGTATTCAAAACAGCCGTTGTTTTTGTCTACAAGGAATCATCCAAGCACAGGAAGAAAATTGTAAGTAAATTCCTGTATTTCTTTGAACAGCTCTCATTGAATATGCGATCTACAGTGCACTAGTATTTGATAGTTATACAGTGCCCTCTGCTGTCACATTGATGTATTGCACCCCTCTTTCATTTTTCAGGGTACGTCTCACCGAGCCTCCGTCAACGAAGACAAGGTTCCTTTCCGATTCCGTCACATGATCTCAACTGACACTTTGCAAGTTCGTGTACCTGCAAGTAAGTTCATTTTAGGATTCCTCAGAAGAATTTGAGAAGCCAAGCCTCTCTTACAGTCAAGTACATCTCTTGATACATCATTCTGGACAAATCTATTATTTAGCTGATTTTTTGCATCCAATTATTGCAGCATCTGGCCTCTCTAAAGCATGAAATGTAGAAATAAACATAATTTTTCACACCCACTGTCTTTCTGCTTCATAACACTCTTAGTCATCTCCATGCTGTCTGCTCTAAGATCCTCTTTTTTAAAGGAAAAATACTTGTTACATTATAGATCATATCTGTCTTCTTCAGATTCTGAGGGCACAGCCATGTGTGAAATTGTCCACACCAGGTCCGAATCTGAGGGAAGACCAGAAACAACTTTTCAACTCTGCTGCCGGTAAGATAAAGATAACATGTTTTTATATTGCATTTTAAGTATTTCTAATATCTTAAAAATCTTATGTAGTAGTGGAAGTTTTGGGGGCCAGGACTCTCAAGATCTAGAATGTGTATAATTACTCCACAATTCAGTATAAATACAGTTACACTTTGTCTATGCTGCAGTTCTCCGGAGAGTAAGAAGGACTTCCTGAAAGCCGTGCACTCCACAATCAGAGAGAAACGCCGGCTACAGCTTCTCAAAACTGAGTCTCTGCCTCTGAACCAACAGTATGTCCCGTTTGGAGGGAAACGCTTGTGTGTACTGAAAGCACGGCCATCCATGACCAAAGCAGGTAAAATCATCAAATTCAGTGCTGCAAGTATGGCTTAGGAAAGAAAATTTGTGAATAAGGAAATACCATAACCATAGCTGATATAACATCTAATCTAATTAACATTAAACATATTAAACATAAACTAAACCAGATCTAATCACTTTGAATTATTACCCCCAAAAAACAGCATTATGAGTATGGAAAAACTGCATGATATGAATTACATTTGTAAAAATGGCTTCTAATATAATCTCTGTAAATTGTATTTTTCAGCCTCTGCTCCAACTCGAACTCTCAGAAAACTGGTGAGAAACCGCTTCACTATTGATACGGACCTCATCTTCCATGGCAACAACAACAGTCAAGATTCTGATCCTTCAGACCCCTCCAACCCTACTTCTTGCTTGATGCCTTCCCAGCATGCACTTCTTCAGCCCCGCAAACCTCAGGGAGAGGACACAGACCGATGGGTAGAGGAACAATTTAACTTGGGGTCCTATGAAGAGCAAGCGACTGTCACTCAAGTCAAAGAAACAGACATTTTGAGTGATGATGACGAATATTGCAAGTCTGTGAGGCCAGCATCTACAGAGCCTACTGATTTGGAGGCAAAAATGAATGAACTTGACATAGAAACAGAAAGAAACTGCAATGATGCTGGGCAAATGAACTCGATAAGCTCTTGCAGTGTTGCTTTGTCCCATTCTCCCACCCTGTCATTAAAGGTTGCACCCCGAAAGCAGTGTGCAGTGGAGGAGGCAACCAATATGGACCATAAAATAATTTGGGTGAGGCGAGATGATCGCTGCAATGGTGATGTCTTCTGAATAATTATTATAAGTTGAACATTGCTTAACCAACAGGTTGAACAAAAAACAAGCTTTAAAGTAAAACTATTTAAAACTAGAGGAAGACCTGTGTACTGCATTCCCATTTACTTATATCCCTGGTCTGACAATCCCACATGTACAGGGAGTTAACCAAATTGGTTCCAACAAAATAGAAGCTTAACTTTTATTTTGTTGGGACCAGTTTGAAGACACAAGTTGTTTTGTTACACTCTACTATCTCACATTATCCTTGTATGCGACTATGTGAACAGCTGCACTGCATGTTTACGCCAATACAAAGTGCACATACTGAAACAAAAGCACCTAAACGTAGGCAGCTAATGCATAAACACTGATGATTCTGGCCAAAAGATGTATATTTTTCCACACAAAATGATGGTGTTTTATTTTTCGGACTCAGAAACTGTTTGTATTGGAGCACCCAAGGGCTGTGTTACTGACTTTCTCATCAGGGGCGTCTGGCTCAGCACCACTCTGCAGCAGATGGTGAAATCCAACTAGCTTTATCGTGATTTAATTGAGTTAACTTAATATCGGCTGCACATTGCTTTGTAAAGGCAAGCGGACAATGTTGTGCCATTAACCTTGTCTACAAAATGTGTTGCAGCTCACTTTGTCTCCTAGAATACCTTTTTAACAATATAGTTTGGACAATATATAGTCTACTTATTTAATATACGCCTTTTTACTGTATTTTTACACTAATGATGAGATTCCCAGTGTTATAAACTGTTTGTAAATTGTAAATGGTGCCATAACTCTTAAAGCAACACTGTGTAACTTTTTTTTTTTTTTACCTGAAACTTGGTCTACAGTGTTGATAACATCCACTGGTCCCATAACACAGTTACAATCAATGCATCAATAAGCTACAGTGGCTTTGGGGACATAGGCTTTTGTATTATTTATTCATTTCCTCATCGTCACTTAATTATATACTGTATACTGTACTAATTAATGGTGTGTTCCTTTTGTTGCCACAGCTGCCCTGGGACAAGCCAAAAAAAACATCATTGCTAGTTTATGGCCTATTCAAATGCCATCTAACAGGCAATCAAGCTAAATTTGATTGGAGAGGTGTCTTGCCCAAGGGCACAAAGGTCATTTGAGCTGGGGATACTATCAAACAACTCCAGTGTTACCACAGTAGCTTCTAATGTATTATTATGGCAAATTTACTATGTGCTTATTTTCTGTCTCCATTTCATGAACTTCAATAATAACTTGACTCTGAACTTATCATGAGTTTCAGGTTGGATATTTAGTTGCAGAAAGTTACATAGTGTTGTTTTAAGATGGATGAGCTTGTGTCATATGAATGTCTAATGTCCATTTTGTGTTACGGAAATCTTCTCATTGCTCTGTTGTTGTGCTTACTTGTTGTCTTTATTCTGAATGCCGTTATGATTACCTATCACTATCCTGTTTTACTTGAATTTTCTTTGTTTTTAAGAAACTATTTGACCGGAGCCATGCTAGTGACTGTACTGTAGATGGAAATTCAATCATGCAGTTTACCCATAGCCCTTAAACCTTTTCCATAGTATCAGACAATGTCACAACTTTTCAGGAATGCCAGCGCAACACCTGTAACGTTATTTCTCCTGCATTTCCCCTTGTGACCACCAGGCTGCGCTGTTTCACTGTATTGTCACCACATGCTCACAGCCTTGCACCTTAATGGATGTATTCAACAGCACTTAATATCCAACTTTAACAGGGGATTCACGCAAGGAGAGATCAACTTTTGGGGGGATGCTGTTGTGATGTTGAACTTATAGATTTTAGCTTCCTGTCTCATGACCCAGACTGTGAGGTACAATCTCCTTAGAGGCAATATCCTGTGAGAAATTTGACCTTTTTGTACTTTGAGAAAACTGTTCGTACAACCGCTGTGGAGTGTCATTTTTACGTCAAAATAAATTTTATAAAGCGATCTGATGTGCATGACTTTCTTCTGTTCTCATAGGCCTGCATTTTGTTTAGTTAGTCCATACTGTTGTGAAAAACGTATTTTTGTTTGCATCCTTTTAGTATTCATGTCAGGTTTGGTGTTTTTGCTCAAGGAAGAAGCTGGATGGTCATTTTGTGAGTTAATTAAGATTGTCCATAGGCACTTTGTCCAGAGTCCAGCAGGTTAGTTTTTGGCGCGTTGAGTCATTTGGCCCCCAGTATTTTAATTCATTGCCTTTGTGATAAACAAAATATCACTGCTGACGACAATATATCCAAATGTCAAACTAAATTGAGGTCCGATATCTGTTTAATTACTTAGAAGGGGTGTTTCGGTTGGGGTGATCTTGTAATTATAAACTAGGGAGATTTCCATATCATGCCCCTATTTCCTTTATTCAAGAACTGGATTTGAGTGGAGCAGTCCCGGTCAGAATCTGATAAAGACCTCCGTGGTAGCGAGGGGAGTTAATCTCACATCTGCCCTGTAACCTGAAGATTATTCCTCTCATCTGGACCGGTGTTGCCAATCCATCTGCCCACAATCCACGCGCAAACTCTGCCAAGAACAGTGCGAGGACAAGTAATGGAAATTGAAAGTTCTTGATTTCAATGTAAAAGCAAGAAGCCTATAGCCCACCAAGATTGTCAAGAGAGTGAAAAGGTTTGCATAAAAAGTGAACAATCTCGATTCTAGTTCACATGGAAGGAGCCTAAGAAAACAGTACCCCATCAAATATGACGATCTTTTATTTTGAATGTACCAAAGATGTAGGCCTAAGTGGTTTGAGGAAATATGAACTTCATCTGTGTGCGTTTTGTGTGTGTGTGTGTGTGTTCTACTTGTTGAAGGCTGATCTTATTACTAGGTTTATTGTGTAATCTATATGTAACGTTACTGGTCAAAGGCATAGACCACACTTTTATTCTGACACCTCCCACCGGAAGCGCTGTCCCTTGTTCAACCCAAACCATTTTGCGCCTCTCTCTCCCCTGCTCCAGGGATGCGCTGACTCTGAGTGGAGCGGTTAACTCAGATTGCCCCGTATTGCCCACAGTTAATAGAGGAGACCACGCTGGAGTTACGCATAAACGAAAACTTTACTCTTTAAGTCAAGATTTTCCATGTTTCTTTTTGGATTTGATTATTTCTCTTTATTGGCGAGGCGGAGTGATGCCAAGTGCTCTGAACACGTTTAGGAGTACCTGACTGGAATGGCTCCGGTAGTTCTGTTCGTGGACACGGCTCTTTTCCCTCTGTCATGGTGTGGAAACTCGTGCTGAGACCTCTCGCAGCAATATGGAGACCAGAAGTAGACTTTTTACCTGTCTCCTGTTGACTGTGCATCTCTGGGTTTGCGTCTCTCAAGTCCTCCGGATCGGTAAGCGCAACAGCTGTTTACACACGACTTCAGGGTTTGTCGAAGCGCTTTTCCCAATTTAAATACATATGCACTATTCCATATCATATAACAAAGCCTCAAATATTTATTGGCATAAGTTGTAATTTTTAAGTGAAAGTGATAAAGACCACTCCAATGTTCAAAATCTGACACTATTTCTTTTAAGTATTATTTGTTCTTCACCTATAGAATAGCTTGTTGGATTCTTCATGACTCTGTTGCCATATCTGCTGGTGGATTTCGGGAAAAAGCTCCTGTTATGTCACCAGTCATCCCTTTGGCCAAAACTTGAACTTGACTGTCCTCAAAGAATTGTCTTTTCAAGCGCGTGACCTGTGACTGCTCAGTGGGAAGAGCTCTTTCTAGTGTGGACTCTGGTTTTTGATGTGTTTTTTTTTTGACTACGGGGAATATAAACCAAAAAAAAAATAAAAAATCTATGACTTTGTATTTTGAACCTCTCTGTTTCTGACAGATGCTGAGTTTTTTCCCCTAAAAGCCAAAGAGAAAGCACTTGGGCAGCTTTATCTTATGCCCATAGAATCGCTTTTGTCCTATAATTTAAAAGGAGCGTAGCTGCAAGAGGTTTTGAGCAATGAAAATAGCTGTAATTGAATAATAAATTAGAGTTGAATCCCCTTCTGTGGAATTTTCCATGCAAAAATAACATCAGACACAAGAAAGTTGAACAGTTAACACTTAAAATTTTGTGCTATGTGTCTTTAAGTGTATTAAGGACTGCACTTCATTTCCACTTTTGTTAATGTTATATTATGGATTTTATGGAGAAATGCACATATAGAAAGTTATATTAAATTAAATATTACTTCTTGAATGGCTGCCAATGTTATCTGGATAAACACTCATGTAGGTATAGGCACAACATTGCACTAAACTGCTGTTGAGTAAATACAGAAGGATGATACAGTTGCTTATTATTGCTCTCTGCTCTCATACAGGTAAAAGTAATAGATTATTGATTCCCCCTGCAGGCTGCTTTATACTCCTTTTGGGCCATTTTCATTTGGGATAGTGGCTGCTGCTGCTGACATCTATCCATCATTGAGACAGATGTGACAAAGGCAGAGAAGGCCTCGTAATCTTTCTCTTTTCCTTATGTTGTGTGGAGTCAGAGCAGAGCAGCTGAAGTTCACCTGATTAGACGAGAGGAGACGTGAGAGGAGGGTGAGTTTCATTATCCCACAGGCACACTCACTCTCCTTAGGCTTAAAGTCAGGACAGAACTGCCTAGTAATGCCACAGTTTAATTGACTGAATAAAATAAGGACTACTGACTGGTAATGCCACAAGTTTAGGTAATATGACTGAGTTCGAGATGTGTGCTTGCCTCAGTGAATGTCATGAGATATTGCCCAACACCTGCTAAATATGAATGTTAATGTTACATTTCTACATCAATGACGATCCTAAGTAAAAGGTTTGATACTTGGTACTAAATTTGATAGGTACTAATGATAACTAAAATAGAGTTAATGCAATTTCTCCATAAAGGGCCCATATTATGCTATTTTCTGATCTATGATATAATCTTATTTCATCAAAACATATCTGGAGTTTTGTTTTGTTTCATTCACACATGTTTAGCACACAAACCCTGCATACTTAGGCTGAGTTCTTCTCTTAAACTGACAACACTCTCTTCCACCTTGTGACATCATGTGGTAATACAGGAAATGCTCCTTCAAACTTCAGCCCTGGAATTGCCAATCTCTCTGAACAAACGGTAAAAGGTAGCTGTTCACTTCAAAGTTACTGCTTCATGACATCACAAGGTGGAACAGAGCATTTTGAGCTTTGGAGATATAGATAAACTAAAGGATTACTGAAGCATTGTGAAAGAAACAAAACTCAACTCCAGCTATGTTTTTGACAAGGTAACAACATTATAACATAGCTTAAAACTAGTGGTGTAACGATATCCAAGTCTCATGCTACGATATTGTCACGATATGAACCTTATGGTGAGATATTTATTGCGATATCGTGGCAAAGCTCACAATATGGTGTGGAGGCTCACAATTAGGGATGTAACAATATCCAAATCTCTCGGTATGATATTTTCACGATATACATCTCACGGTACAATATTTATTGCGATATTTTGTGGAGGCAACAAAACTGTTAATATGCTCCTTTTTTCTCTTAAAATGCCTTGATAAGACTTAATCCAAAGAAATACAACTTAAAAGCGTTTAGAACTGTTATTTCTTCATGTAGTCTACACTGAAATGGAGCAAAGGATCATGGTCTATGTAGTTTCCTCTGTCTTTTTGTAGTTATTGCTGCACCATAACTCTTAATTTAAGCAAAGAGACTTGTAATTTGATATATTGTGATGTCCATGATATTATAAAAACTTTGGCGATACGATATCACTTTATTTCGATTATTGTTACTACTTAAAACTCACAAGAGTCCATTTTGTGTAATATAAGACCTTTGAAGCAGTGTCTTTGATAATACAAGCGGTCTTATATTTGTTCTGGTATAGATCACGTTCGTTATAAAAGTTCTCATTAAGGGTGCAATGTAGTTATTTTTTCATAGCATTTTTAATTATTTATTTAATCATACTTTCTTGCATCAATAAGAAAACTCACTCAACCTTATTGCACTCCACCTGTTTGTGGTCACAATACAAGGTGTGATTTGACCTGGAACGTAAAACGACAAGGACAAAGTATAAAACTGACTTTAAAGTTTAGTTTGTCTTTTCCCAAGTTGACTTCTGCGTTATGTGTTTGGAGAAAGCATAACAGCTTTGTCAAATACTCCATTTTAAGCTATTATTTTAGAAAGCTTTTTGGTGAACAAACGAGTGAATAAACTGCACAGACTTTAAATGGACTCTTTTCCTCCCAAAAATAAAACAATGTTATTTTATTGTGCTTTTTATTGGGAATATTGATGAGTTATTAAATGGTAGTGGATACATTTATATGTGGTCTTAACATAAAAGTCACAGTCTTTATGATTAAACCAAATGAGTGGGCTGCTTCTGGACAGCAGACGTTCTGGCAGTTCGCTGTTTCTTTTTAAATCTCTAATTAGATTCATTAGTCTATAACATTTGGCTGCATATCTCTTTACCTCTTTATTGTTACCATTTTCAGAAAAGTTTAAGAAGTTGTATTAGTTAAAAACATAGTAGTAGTAATAAAATGTCTCTCTTCAAACTGCCCTGACACAGATCTGCTGACACTACCTGACTAGGCCTCCTGTCAGTGGCAGAGTTAGCAATTTGGGGGACCTCAGCGAAATTTAGTTTGGGACACTCGCTATAGTCACTTTTTTTTTTGTATTATTTTGTACATATTTATTGTCCATATTGTCTGTTTTTTCCCATTGGTCATGAGACATGCACATCTTTATTTGAATTATGGTGGATTGTAAACTTGATAGCCTACTAGATAACCAGAGCTGAAAGTTGTTTAATTGTTATTTGCTTGTACAGTTACATTTTTGCTTACATCCATTACATATTGGTTGGTTGGTTGATTGGATTTATATAGCGCCTTTCAAGATACCCAAAACACTTTACAGTTTTTTATTATTCAGTCACTCCACACTCAGTGGTGGTAAGCTACTACTGTAGCCACAGCTGCCTTGGGGCAGACTGATGGAAGCGAGGCTGCCAGTCTGTTCAGCCTCGGAGGTCCGTCCCTCTGACCACCACCATCACTCACACTGCTTTCATACTAGGCAATGTGGGTGAAGTATCTTGCCAAAGGACACAACAACAGTTTTTTGCCACTGGCACCCCACTGTGGCACCTGAAATTCCTAGTGGTCTCCCACCCAAGTACTACCCAGGCCCAGCCTGCTTAGCCTCTGAGATCTGACGAGATCAGGCTTTGACAAGCTGGTATGGCCATGAACTATGATGTGACAATGATTATACAGATTTTATGTTCAAATTAGGGTCAAGCTGACTAGTCCATTCTAATGTGAAAGGGGTGATGCTTTGACGGTTAAAATAGATTTGAAAATCAGATACTATTTTGATGATGATTTCTTGTTTAAAAGTAAAAGTACTTTCATTTAATGTCATATTGAGAAAAAATCAAGTTGCGCTGAGGCTTTGGCCTGAGGGCAATTGGTTGGAGGCCCGTCCAGTTTTCGGGGCCCTAGACGGTCACTACTGTTGCCAAATGGTAGTGCTGCCTCTGCCTTCTTTTAAGCTGCACCTTTGACCCTTGACTGAGACACAACGGCAACTGAGAAGCGCAGCTGAAATGTTGCTGTAGCAAAACTTGAATTTCCTTCAGGATCAATAAAGCTTCTCTCTTGCTCTACAGTGTATTTTTCTGTAATATTAATTTGCGTTTTCCTCCTTGATAAACCATACAGCTATATAGTATCTTCGTTATCTTAGTTATAGTTGTCAACAGGTTCAACATGTTCAGTTTAACATACTAAAGTCACAAGATTACATTTCTCACAATGCATTGAACAACTTTAAATTCAGTGTTTATGTTTAGTAATTATTTGTACTTTAGTAAGTCTGCACATTTGAGTTAAGAGCATCTTGCTTAAAAAACTCAATATGCAAATGAGCTCGGTCAATGAGGCTACAGTAAAAATATGCTGAGTGCTACTGAGTGAGAAGAAAAATCAAAAGGAAAGATTCTTATGATTTTACAGAAGCTGATCATTTATTGGAGAAGAGATTTGAGTGGTATGGCCTGAATAATTTAACTTTGCCCTGTCTTAACCTTCACTCTGACTCAGGTTATCGCTCCGTGCCAATGTTCACTACTTCTCTTTTTCTACAAACGCCTTTTTCCATTTGAACTTCACAGTCACTTGGGCCACAACTTCCTGATACGTGCTGTAGCTCTGGGTCACATGCATTAATATTCAGCCTCATTCAAAACCAATGAGGAGGGCTTTAATGCTTGAGTGCAGAGCCAAGATCCACACAACTGTCTGAGGGGGATTTACATAGTTACACTCTAC